AATTGTTAGCATCAATGTTACAGGCAATGTATCTGATCAAGTGCATCAGTTGTGGTTGTGAATGTTCGTACCAGAGCGAGACCTTTTGTGCATCCGTCCATTCGACTTGTCCAAGGGCTGTGCATCGACAGATCTCTCCGCAGAAGAAGAACCGATGTTTCTTGCCGAAGCAATATCGACGTTCCTTGAGGCGGGCATTTTCGATTTTATAATTCACGATATCCAGTATCAACAACAATAACAACGGTCAATCAATGACCAAAGCGATCAGAAAGATTGGGGGGCGGCGCGGCCGGCAAAGAAATAGTATAGTTGATGAGGGGGACCAGCCACCTTTTTGTCAACTAAAAAGACGCAATGGCAAAGCTGAACCGGCAGCTAATGCACTCTATTAAGGAGTAAACGAGGAGGGATGGAAATGAAGGTTGGAAAAAAAAAACACTTCGAGACGGGTTCAAGGGAGATCTTTTATCTAGAGATCTCGGATGCGGCAAGTTATAAGTCTACGCTACGATCAGCAGCCATGGCATGCATGCTTCTATTTTTTGTTGGAAGCGGTAGGCGAGCCTAGTTTGAGCCGGAAGAATATGCGAACATCGGGTGGAGAATACAACTCCAGGAGCAAATCAGTGTCGAGATACGGGTTGTTGGCTGGGTTCCAGACTAAATTTGGGACCTGACAGGGGTGTAAGCACGAAGAGTGACGGACGACAGGTAACCAGGGTCGATCCCCTCAAGTGGCGCCTGCGACTAGCGGATAGTGATCTCTGGTAGGACGACTAGGGTGCCCCCATGATCCATGAGAGTTACAGTGGACCTGCACATTATCCCTGCTAGTGCCCAACTGGGAAATCACCAACTCGAGCAGCTCACTTCCATGTACCACCTAGTGCGACTCCAAATATGGCACATTCTGCCGCTGATAGGCTCTTTCTCGAGGACTTAGTTGATTATTGCTTTTTTCTGCATAGTGACCCTCGGCCAGTAGAATTGCCACAGTCAGCTTGAAATGGAGATCGGAGGGTCCATGAAATTCTAATTACAAAGTTCAAACAGTATAACGCCGTACATATCACAATCAACCAACATCTTGAGCGCGTCTTGAATGATTTCGATTTTAACGCTTACTGTGGGAGCGGGGTTGTTGGTAAATTGTTGGAAAAAGTAATTGACACCGGTGGGCAGATGATAGGAGGCCAGCCTATCATTGCGAGTCAGGTAATCCACAAGCTAACCTCAAATGGTAGGAGGGATGGGCAGGATTGGCTGGTGAGCCCAGAACTGAATGGCTAGCAAAAGAACATGCAGTTTTCAAGTGTGATCAAAAAGCAGCCATTGCATGCCAAGCTTCAATTTCAAGCTTCTCATTTGCTGAGTGATCTCATGCACTAAGGCCGACTAACTTTTAGTGCCATCGGTGTTTTGCAGAACGGTTGAATGGCAGCCAACCGTGGGGCCGGGCCGTGCAGAGCTGGGGGCACTAATGCGCCAAGGCTGACGCTCGGACTGTGATAAGGTCACTTCACAAAAAAAGGTTCTTAATTAGCAACACTTAAGCGCCTTTCTTCAGACCAATCTTATTGTTATTGAGATTGAGATGTGCAGACAATTGCCTAAGTTTGATACATCATGCATCCTCAAAACTTCTAATAATAACCTTTTAAGCCATGGTTAAGGGGAATTAGTCCAGCCTTGTACCCATAATTAGCAATAGAAAAGTCCAAACAGCCATAATTAGTATCAATTCGTGCGGGGTAAGCCATGTCAGCTGTCCCAAGGTTCTGTCTATGTACGATCAATCCTCCATTCTGTCAGATACTACCTTAGGACATCATTATGCATTCTCCGAGTTAGGAAGGATATTGTCATTCCCAGCTAAATGGCTCTTCTATATTTGGATTGAGAATGATTACCCGTGATTGTTATTGTCCTTAATTTAGACGCAAATATAATCGGGCAATCAAGTATTTGTGATGGCTTTTTTGGTCACGGAATACGGCAGAGCACCAATAACGCCATTGGATTGAGAATTACTCTTCCATCCAAACTAAAATCATGTCACTCTCTCTGTGAACAAAGGCAGTAGTGATCGCAGCCATGTGCCACTACAGCACGTAGACCAAGATCTATCAACTACCCATATGTGTGATATCTGCAGAAAATAGACTGATAGGTCATACAAATCCAGGGGAAATGTAAAAGGAGATTAGAGTCAGAGCCGATCAATTGACCGGCCAGGATGCTCTTGTGTACAGCTAGGCCAGTACGTATATACTTGTATGCAATCAAGACTGTGCGTGCCGTGTAGGCGGAACTACTATTTACACGTCCATTTCATCGTTCCATGTGAATATCTGGGACTTTCCTGTGTGTCCCCAAGGTACAGTGTCATAAGCTTTCTTTTTCTGAAGAGTGTAGAAATAGGCGTGTACTGTAGTCTGGGTGTTGCTGATCCCATCCGCAAAGCAAAGACCGTTGCCAAGACCGATTTCAAGGCCACCTACGCAAGGCACCGCCCAATCAATAGGTTATGAAGTATTAACATGACACCGTCCATGATTGTTAAGCTGCATGTGACCTGTTCCACATGCACGTGCCCTTTGCGCACGAGGATGTGATAAATCCATCGAGGACGAGTTTGCCTGCTCATTTCCACATACGAGGGATCTGCCCGATATACGCTAAGGTAACTGCTAGAGATTATACTGACGGCTGATATTGACGTCTTAAAATAAGCAAAAGGATGAGCGAAGCCTGAATATCGGTTGATACCATCCGTCCTGAAAGAAAAAGATTAGTCAATAGCCGGACGACAAAACGTCTGGAAGGTCTACCTAAAAGTATAGGACATCCGGCCCCATACAACGTTCTCATTGATCTGAGGCATGAATTGAAATAGCATGAAACTATTCGTGGCTAGGAAGCATATTGGGTATCTCTACTGTTCTATACTGTGGTATTGTTTTTGAGACGCTAGATTTCTGCTCCAGTCAGATTGCATCCTGAGATGTGGATACCCGTGGCACGCGGGGGATATCACACTTCGCAAAGTACTGGGCAATATGAAAATGTCGAATTCGTCGATTGTATATCTGCTTACGCCACAGACATTATTATCCATGCCGGACTAGAAGTGGGATAGAATTTCCAGAGCAACTGACTTCTTACCCCGAGATGAATATGATGCATTGATTAGCGCAAGCTCAAAATAACAGACTTTCTTTTTAAACATATGTTGACAGTTAAATTAGTGGAATAGTTATCACTTTATCGTGTTCTACAGCCCTATGGATAGTATCGAGCTTGCAACAGAAGCTCTATATGTCGGGAGTAACTCGGTCTACTGTGTGCCGAACTTTGATGTTGTGTGAGCACGCGGTGTGATTCATGTTGAGTTACAGGGGCCCGTCACTTGGGTGCATAAGCCCTCGGGCCAGAACCGATCTCAGTGGACTTGAATGAAATAGCACACGGGAACCCAGTTCTATGCAGACTGCTGGATGGACTTTCGCTCGATATTCATTTTGACAATAGCCGATCCCAAGCCCAGCGCATCGAGAATACCGGTAGCTACCGCCTGCAGTGCATGAAACCCCCATCATCAAACTACGCTATTCCCAAATTTATTCTGGCATGGTATGGAGCTCAAGTTTTACTGTACGACCACGATCGGCCATGAAATATGAAAGGTTCCCCGTGCCACATACTGAATTACATCGGCGCGGAGGAAATATTGATGTTTGTTATTAAGAACCGTTGAGTGAAGGACTCACAAAAGTAAGGAAGCCACATAACCAGACCAATCGCTTCGGTGAGACAGCCCGAAGGAAGGAGGATCTGCAGTGTGATTGTGACACGGTCTACTCAACGGACCTTTGAATCCTTCCCGAGTCATTTTCCTGACTCGGCAGAAATTCTGGTCAATATTCCCTTAAAATAATTAATTTAATACTTACTGGAATAAAATTTACTGCAGTATCTAGGACGCATCTGCGTCTCTGGCGCTCAGCTCTTGCGGACTCTTTCCTCTTTCATATTGTTCCAAGTCGAAAGCACTGGAATGCCAATCAAGATTTTTTGGCCCCAGCCTCCCCTTGAATGCGCGAGGAAATACCATCAATTTATAAATTTGAACCCGAAACCCCTCTACGCGCCAGGATTGCTATTAAGAGATCACCAGCCTGTGCAAGTGTGCCAAGAATATCATCACCGCAGTAGCGCCGTGATGAGCAGCCTCTCACAGACCGCCATCACCCGCTTTCCTCAACCCCTCATGCAGGTTCGACGCCGACTGCATTACGTCTCACCCAACGAGCACGAGAAGGACTCAGTCTTGCCGGATGAACTTTTATTTTTTTGGCACCTGTCTCCTAAGCTAGTGTTCCAAGTTGGCGTATTGACCACCCAGATGCCTCATCATGGGCGCCTCGCTTTGTACTTACCGCTGAGCCATGTCTCCAGTTGCTGTCCGAGCTGCAACTGCAATTCGCCGAATCCACGAAATCGCCCGAAGCACCTGGTACCGCGCATTTTTACTGGTAGCCCCACAGACGAACATCTAGTAGACCCCAGTTGAGTTACCTTGTACATAAATCATCCAAAGCCCGAACTGCTTAATTATGATAAGTTTCCCCATCATAGCGTTCTTTAACATTTGGTTCCACCCTCATTAACACATACCACCCAGTCTTATCGAGAGGTTTGGGTTGGTTATCCAACTGTTGGTTTCTTTATTTCATTCATCTGTCTAGTGCCAGCAGCCCACCTAGGCTCCTGGCGTGATAACATGGTGTGTTATTGATAACTCTTGGTACACCCAACCAGCCGGTTAATGTCAAACGCAGGATCAATATGCATACCACATGAACTATCTTGTGAACCAGAAACAGGAACCGTTGCCTTTATTTCCCCCCAGGACCGTCGTGCCACGACCGGGATCGGAGGCGACGGAAATATTCGAGGATGAATATAGGTATAACCGATACAGAAACAGTTCACCTATGAGAAGTGTGGCTTCTGTAAGTATGAGCAATGATCTATAATGTGAATGGCGAAAGAACTGATATTGTCTATCCCTAGTTTGGAACCGGGAGCATCTCCACCGCCTCTGACCCAGACACTGTCACCACACCGGAGTCTACTGGCTTGACAGCTTTCGACTTTCTTTTCGATGAAAAACACGTCAGAGGCCCAAATGGCCCTCATTTGTTCCGGTTGTCCGAGTCGGATACCATCTCCGCCATGGATGTAGTTCCGATGGCCCAGGAAACACCCATCAGTACAACCGGCCCGTTTCACCACAGAGCCTCGAAATTCGACCCCTATAGACGGGATACGCCGGTTCCAAACGGCTCAACAGCACCAACCCCTGAGCCCCGGCAACCTGTACAACGCCAACAATCCTCGCATGTTGCTCAGCTGGCTTCAGTGCCTATCCAGATTGAACCTCGTGATTGGACACCTTTTCAAGTGAAGGGTTGGTTGCAAAGCCTCAATTTTGAGGATGATGTTGTTGAGAAGTTTTTCGAAAATGACATCTCCGGCTCCATTATCCTGGATCTCGATTACAATTTCCTCTTCAAAGAGCTTGAAATCAAGTCTTTTGGCAAGCGATACCGCTTGATGAGCTCTATCGATAGTCTCCGGGGCGGTGGTGTGTCTATGAGCAGTGACACTCACTCTGCACGTTCACGCAATTCAAGTGTTGCTAGTGGCATAGAGTCTACCCCAAATGCGTCCTATGTTTCAGGAAATGGCCACACATCATACTCGACTGGCGGGAAATATGTACCTGACGCGAAGCCTCGTCCGCGTCGTCAAAGATCCGACAGCGAAGTGAGCAAGAGGAATGACCTTCTTCCTGATGACTCCGTCTCAATCGTGGCGATTGAACAGGGTCTGCCAAAGGTGCACAAGTGCAAGAAAGGAGAAGCATGCAAAACATGGCAGAAGCAACAGAAGTGGTTTGCACTTGTTGCACAGGACCTGCCGCTTGAGTCTCTCGGGCCCAGATGCATCGTTGCAGGTGACCCAGGAAACCCTAAGACGGCACCAAATCTCCTCAAGTCGCCCATGTCTCAGGTTACTCCCTCGCTTGTCGCATCCTCTGATCTCATGGGGCCTCAACACCCCTCTTTCCAGCTTTCGCAAGAAAGACTGAAAGACGTGCAACCAAGGGACCCTCAGGAGAATGTGCGAAACTTCTTGAACTTCCAGAGTCTTGACCGCTTGCAGACAGTTGATCAGCCAGCCACTCCACCAACTGACCATCTTTCATCCCCTGGATCTAATTCCCCCGACTCAGCAAAGATAACACCTACGCTGGCTGATCATCTGCGTCACTTGCCGAAACTCCGAATTCCTAGTATGCATGACTCCAGTGAGGGTTCAGTCATCACGGAGAACATGTCGGAGTTACGTACTGTCACGCCTTCTATTCTGTCTAGAAGAAACCAGTTCAATGACAGAACCGCTATCCCTGGAGAACAGCAGTCCTTTTCAAGCGGAGCTATCGCGTCTCCCGGGGACTTCTACAGACGTGATCCTTGTTATCGCTCGGAGACCCCTCTTTCGGATATTGATGTGCCAGTGACTGCCGTTCCCATAGGTCCGGTGGCACGAGAAGATTCTCAGTCAGTGCCACCCAACATGCGGTTCGGAAACGAAAGATATTTTATGGCGGATCCAATCATTCGGCCATCCTCAAGCAAAGCGGAAGGTCATCGGCGGTACCCTTCTATTCATAATGTTGCCACCCTGAACCCTCTCAAGGAGGGGTATGCCATGAGTCCAATCGAGACTCCAGAGGACCTGCAAAACACACCTCGGGCACCCCAGTTCCGCAACAACGCCTTGTTCCCCTCTACTAGACGAGGAGAAGGTGACGTGACACACAGTGGGTGGATGAAGAAGCGCAAGACCACCAAATTGATTCGTCATGATTGGGAAGATCACCACTTCACTCTGAAGGGCACTCAGCTTGCAATGCACGACAATGAAGCATCTGCCCGTCTGGAGTCCAAGGCCCTCGAGTATATCGATGTCGATGACTATGCAGTCGCTTGTTCCTCATTTGCCTCGAGGTCTAAGCTTACGGCGGCATTCAAAAAGACCGTCCTCAAACGAAATGAAAACCCACTTAATGCGTCGGCCTTTCAGTTCTCCTTGATTCCTACACCCAACGGCAGCGCCATTATTGACCGAAAAACCTTGTTTTTGAACAGTGGAAAGTCACACCATTTTTCTGTCAAGACCCGCGATCAACGCATTGATTGGATGCGAGAGCTTATGCTGGCCAAAGCTCTCAAGCGTGGTCGAGACACTGGGGCTGAGGTCACCTTCAATGGAGCTAACATGATTTAAGCTCTGTGTCTAAACAGTTAGTATGCTATCTACGTATTTTACTCCTCTCATTCTTTATGACTCCCCATTCACTTTGTTTCTGCGATACCCGTGGTTAGATGACCAAGAGTATATAACATTACTTCTTCCCCCATCTTATCCCTGCCCGATGAATTTTTCTCAATCTACGACATGTATTGCCACGAATTTCCTTGAATTTTGCTCTTTCTCATTATTCTTTCTTGTACGTTACGATATCTCCTTTTCTACTAGTTAGAGTGAGAGGGATACCCGGCAGATCTTAGAGAACTCGCGCAGTCTTCGCCTCCTCAGAATGATCATAACGTTTCCCGCGGAAGAATGATTCCTATCTGTCTAGTATCGTACTGTGTATAGCTTCATAGATTGCACATTATAAAAACATCCTATTCAACTAGAATGCTGGTTTCAGACGCTAGAAACTCAGCCGCAGCGGTAAATCGATAGAAAACCAACACTGGATGTATCTTGAACCGGTATACTCAGCCCCTTGCTAATAATGTGTTTTTAGCGGTCAGTGTGCTATTCTGCATGGATGAGAAGTTATCACACTCCCAGCGGTTAAACGGCTATCCTGAGTGGACAAGTCCACCTGGGCATCACCTCGTCGTGGAATGCAGGCGCTAACGCCAACCCAATCCCCCGTTATTCGTTGATAAATCCTGCATTCGTGGCTTTAACTTGTGTGAGTTCCCGCTCGTATCCCTATGAACCAAAATTATCATGTCCCTCGAATCAACACTGCTAGAGTCTGTTTCATGTAGCGCCCATATTAGACGTTAGCGCTATAGGCACATCTTATGTCTCCATGTCTCTTTTCTTTGTGCATTCTACCAAACATCATGCAGGGGTCCCTCACATGCCCCCCTCCAAAGCCAGCAATACACTCTAACTCTACAGAGAGTGGTGCAATGCCACGAGATTAACAGTGGATCGACTTGCCCCAGCTGTTCCAAGCGGCTTTTGAAACAAGCCACACCGCGTGCCTCTTCAAGTCGCACTACTTTTTTTTTCTAATGCTGTTAAGTATGTTTGCTTGGTGTCTCTTATTTCTTTAAGCTATAGGTTTATTGTCTGCTTTATGAAGCCTCCAGCCATGGTCGATGGCCCAGTGATTCGAGGTCGCCTTACCCGAGTTTCTCGGTCCATCCGGGCAGTCATGCGCTGCCTGGGTGGAAACAGAGAATCTCAAGATGGGGCACAGCGAGCGATGCTGCTTTTGTGTGAGCTTCTTGATTTACTTAGCCGACTTCAAGACCAACTGAACTGGGTAGAGGACAAATGGGTCGTGGATCCATCACGTCTACGTAACCTCGATGAGGTACTCCGTTCGTTCGAGTCAACTATTGGGTCAATCGAGGTCTACTTTCAGCCTGGTGGTATCACGGCTCGCTCATTTAGGAAGCGTTTACTGGAAAGCACATTCATTCCTAGGCTGGAGCAGTTTAAGGTTATGATGCTCTTATCCATGCAACCTGAGTCTCGGTATGATTTACCCATGCTAAAACTGATATGCTTTGTGAAATAAGGCTAATTTTCACTTACTATGAGTAGGGAGAAGGCAAAAGTCGAGGACAAACTCCGAAACGTACTCCGTCGCTTTCACGAAATGGACCATAGTCAGTTTAAACGTCCTACTCGCCTTGGTCCTCTAACTAAACCCCAGACTCCTAGACGCGATAAGAGCAAGCACACCAGACGCCAATGAATTCCACACTACTACGAGCCAAATCGCTACCAAGAGTTTTATGAGATTGGCAGATCTTTGCAACAAAAGGCTTAAGGGAACATGCGAATGGATATTTGACAATGACACGTACACAAACTGGCTTTTTGGCTGTAGCAGGACGCTTTACTGCGTTGGACCAGGTAAGTTCTCCTTTGAGATCACCTGTCAAAATAAACCCACAGCTAATGCTTTTGATAGCGGGCGCTGGAAAGACTTTTCTTGCGTTAGTCTACCAAGGAACGGTTAAGGCTTGCCCATACTAACAGTGTTTAGATCCACCATTATCGACAATCTACAGAAAACGTTTACATCTGCAGACGTAGCGGTCATTTTTATTTTCGGTCATGATGAGGCGGAGGAAGAGACGAGCTCTGTGGGGTTTCTTGATAAAATCCTTGCGCAACTTGTGTATCGGAAGCGAGTGCCATCTCACACTACTGCTTGCTTGTACAAATCCAAGTCTTTCGCCGAGGGAAATGTGTCAGCAAAGACATACCAAGATGCTATTCGCGCTGAGGTTAACAGATTCTCTCGGGTCATGTTCGTCATTGACGGAATCGATATGAACGTGGAGAAAGACCGCATTATTAATCGCCTTCAAAAACTGCCGGATCATGCACAGCTTCTTATTACTTCACGCGAGGCAAAATATGGATCCAAAGACGAACATTTATCTGCCTTGGCTACTCCTGGGGATCTTGAAACCTATGTCTGCGGCCGCATTCACCAGGACGAAGGTTTGACTGCCATGCTGGACCAATACGCTCCTGAATTGAAGGTCGCTGTTATTCAACAAGTTGCCCGGAAGTCGCTTGGTCTGTGAGTGAGAAGCTTTCCGTTTACAACAGTTTTTTTTTGTACTGACACTTTTACTTCATACAGGTTTTTGTTGGCTCGGCTGAATATGGATCTTTTATCTAGATGTCAAGACGGAAACCTACTACAACGTTCACTTTTTCATTTACCCGAGAATCTAAATGACGCTTATGGAGAGTCGATGACCAGAATTGTCAGCCAGAATCCCTTCGCCAGTCGCTGCCTATATTGGACATTATATGCCCAGAGGCCTTTGACTGTTTCGGAACTAAACTTTGCGGCAAGCTATGAAGTAAATGGGAATAGCGCCTCGAAGGAGCCCTCATCAACCGAACATTCCATGCTCTATGAGGCAGCTGGACTATTGACAATTGATGCAATGAGTGGAACAGTTCACTTGGTGCATAAGACAGCCAAAGAGTATCTAAGTGGCCCAGCAGCTCGAGTGTTCTTCCCAACTGCCAAAGTGAACATCGCCGACGTCTGTCTCACAATCATCACCCCCGACGATGTGATTGATGACTGCTATGTTAGCAAGGAAGCTATATCTCGCAAGCCCCGGGGGAAGCTGCTCAACTACGCTACAACCTACTGGGGTCACCACGCTCGCGAGGTCGGCGAAGATGAGCAAGCAACACAGGTTCTCATTCGGGCTTTCCTCAATAAGCTGTCCTGGAGAAGACCCCCTGGAACAAGTTCTTGTGCCCTCGGGCTTGAGATGCCGAAGCAGCTGGGCCTCGGAAAATATTTTTCCGACTGGGCCTCTCTGCATGTGCTCGCCTACTTTGGCATTATTGGAAAGGCAAGACGCTTGATTGAACAAGGTGCAGATCTTAATGACTGCGATAATCAGCTCGGTGTCACTGCACTTCACTGTGCAGTCTATCGAGGCAATGAAGAGATGGTTGACTTGCTCCTTGCCTCTAAAGCCAACATAAATGCCATCTCCAAAGACGGTAAAACGGTGTTGCACATTGCAGGGGAGCAAGGACACCGAAAACTGGTCAAGCTTTTGCTTCATCGAGGTGCAAACTCTAGAACAGCCAGCAAAGAAGGAGCAACAGCTCTTCAGCTAGCTGTTGGGACAACCCATGACGAAGCAACTGTTCCCCTCCTGATCAAAAGTCGGTTTGATATGGATGTTCAAAACACAGTCACGGGTAATACGGCTCTTCATTTAGCAGTCGAATTGAAGCGACCGCGCATACTTGCGTTCCTTCTCGAAAAAGGGGCTAGCATGAACATCTTAAACAGAGATGGGATGACGGCACTGCAACTCGCTTGCAAAACCGACAACTGTGAAGCTGCTTCTCTGCTGCTCGAACGTGGCACTCAGTTGGAAACCCGCTCGTCCTATGGGATGACTGCCTTGCATATCGCCGCATTGGAGAACAACTGGGTAGCATTTGACATGCTGGTCATTGGGGGTGCAGATATCAATGCATGGGATAGTGAAGGCGAGTCCTTACTTCACAAGCAAGCCCGCGACCCTTCTGCAATTTCCGTTGCTGCACATCTACTTGCGCAAGGTGCAAATCTTGAGGCCTGTAACTCTCAAGGATATACACCCCTACAGTGCGCTGCTGTGGCTGGAAACAAAGCAATGTTCCTATTCCTGGCAGACCAAGGGGCAAGACTTGATGTTCAAACCGCAAAGGGAGAGACTCTTCTTCATATCACACCCCCTCTGAATCAAGACTGCCTTGACATTCTGGAATCACTGTTTGAATGTAACTTCAGTGCCAATGCGACAACCTGTAGTGGCTTAACGCCTCTGCACCATCTTGTCATCAATGATTTTAATTTGTCAGATCACTCGACTGAACATACTGCCAGTTTCATATCATTACTTTTGTCCCATGGTGCAAACATCAATGCCCCAGTGGCTTCTTGCAATGCCGAGACGGCACTTCATTTGGCAGTGATTGCAAAAGTCCCACGCGAATCACTAGTGTCGCTACTCATCAAAAGTGGCGCGTCGCTCGATTCGAGAACTTCCGATGGAAAGACACCATTACACTTGGCTGCTGAACGAGGCCGACATCACATTTTCCAAATCTTGTTAGATGCAGGAGCGGATCCTTCAATCCAGGACTTTGTGGAAACTCCAACCAACGACAAATTAACGGATGGTGGGCTTACTGCGCTTGACCTGGCGCGCAAGAACCCTATTAGTGTGCTTTGGTTTGACGATTCGGGCAAGCTACAGTCGCCGCCGCCGCCGCCTACGCAGCAGCGCAGGAGCCTAGCGACAACCATTGACGAGCTCGATACTGAATCCGAAATTGGTGAGATAGGAGGATCGACGTTGGTTGGTGAGGATAGCTCGATTTGGGGATCAAGAGCATCAACTACTTCTGTGGAGCTTCCATCTATTTTTTCTTCATGCTAAGATACCACTTGTCGTTTTTTCTTTCAAACATTCTTTTTATCTTCATATATATTTCTCTGTTCACATAAGCGAGAGCGTTGCTTTTCTTTTGAGTCACGATCTTTTTGCAAAGTTGTTCCTTTTGTTCATTTCCATCGGTTTGACAGTGACACGTAAACAGAATCACGTTCAGACTTCGGAAACTCTACTTGTTGTTCCTTCATATTGTTTTGTTCTTCCAATCTTGGTTATTTCTGTCTGGGCACTTCTTCAACAGCTCTCGAGTATCGCCTTATATGGCTATTAAGCCACGGCTGCAATGAGTTTCTCTCTGCAACGACGCCAGTCGGTTCGCCTGAAAATCGCAGCATTGTGGCCCTATTTAGAGGTCGTTAATTGGTCTTCTAACTGCCGATTGGACTTAGCTGTCCTTGCCCGGCTCTCTCTGTTATCTGCGGGTCCGTTCTACTAGCATACACCTCTAGACACATAGACACAATGACATAGTAAAAGGCGATATAATGACCAAGAAAAATAATTTGAAATGTATGCAGCCCGAAGCCTGAAACACCAAGCTTTAATATGTACAATAACCACAGGCAGCGCCAGTGCGCCAAACAAAGCAAAGGGTTGAAAGTCGATCGCTGAAAGAAATCTTTAAAAAGAAAATGTAGAACCGAAAGTCAGATCTAGAAACAAAATAATCTACGACCTGCGCCGACCACCGTCGTAACTGGTCGGGAACAATGGCAACGAAGGATCCACCACATCGTTATAGGGTCTCCGGGCAGCCATTGAGACATCCTCATCACTGGGTGGAGCAGTGTGAGCGGCAGGGAAGTTCGGGTGAGCCTCCGCATCCTCGCCTCTTGCGACCTTCTCGAGGTGGTCCAGCTCAGTTGTCCCTACGGTTCGAGACCAGCGGAAGGAGTCACGGTCATCGGCCAGCGGCCGGTATTTGGCGTCGGGCGTCTTGGAGAAGACAGCGTAGACCATGCCAACCAGGAGGTATATGAGAAGCGCGAGAGTGAAGACCGCATTGAAGATGAAGTATAGCACTCCCAGGATGCCTGTCATGAGCGTGGGCTGATTGAAAACGTTCGAAAACACCAAGAAAAAGATCGCGTTGAGGGAGTTGAGCACTGTCGCAATAATTGCAAAGACATTTGCTCCCTTCGACATGAATGGCTTGATGATGCCGGTTGCGAGCATCATTGCAAGTTCCAAGATTAGGAGAACAATAGATTGGGCAATTCCGTTAGACTGACCAAAGGCGACAACCATTCCCTTGACGACGATGTAGACGAGGGCAGGGACGAGGAACCAATAGACTGGGGCACGATAGTAGATGTAGAGGATGCCCCACTTGCTCAGTGTAGCTGGGTCGGAATACAGCGTATAGGCGGGTGTGTTGTGTTGCTGCTTAGACCGAATCGCGCGTTGGAAAATCTTGAATGCAGCGAAGGCCAAGACGCCGGTCGTCACCAGCCACATGGTAATGGCTAGAACGATTTCCGCAGCAGAGTCCTTTTGGGTCAGTTCCCATAGACAGAGCACACACATCTGGGGATATCCAATGCACGCAAGTCGGAAGAAAGTATTCCGCAGGACTGTCTTCCAGTCTGCGGTGGCACCAACGGCCTTCTCCAATTTCGTAATTGAGGTCGTTCTCTTGGACAGAGCGAAGCGGACGGCCAAAGCGATCCCGACACAAACGAGGACAAGTGCTGTGACAAAATAGTAAAAGAGATATCCAGTCATAAAGATGTTGCTCAATGTGATGGATGCTCGTGCTCCAGCCCGCTTGATGCCGCGCAAGACGATTTGACTCCCTGACTGCATGGCTTGCGCCTGGATAGAGGAGCGCTTCTGCAGGACGACTGAGACAGTATTTGATTCGGAAAGCACGGACGAGGGTGTACCCCCCGTAGCGCGCTGGAACCAAGTCGAAATCGTCTGCAGAGCCTCCGCTTTGACAATACCCATGCTCCAAACAGTATTCTGGATCCACGATTGCGCCATCGGTGGAATTTCCACAGCGATCAACCCTCCCATTGCCTGGGATTGAATGAAGCCAAGGAAAGCCAACGATCGGAAAGCAAGATGGGTCGCAGTATTGGAGTGGCCGAGAAGTGAAAGAACCGTGGAAGCGATGAGGCCCAAGCCAGCGATGACGGCCAGTGTCCATGACACGCCGGCTTGGTAAACAGATTTTCCATTTTGCAAACGGGTTTCCAGACAAGCGACACTCCCTCCAGACTTTTTGTTCAAGTTGACGCGAACTACCGCATCGATGTCAGGGACGGTGTAGGCGATACCTATGACGCAACCGTTAGTAACAACAAAATTTGGTAGACTGCCGCTGAGCCTCGTGTAGCTTAATCAAACGAACCTGGAATTTGAGAAAGTACACCCTTATTAAACGAGTAGGTGAATTTGGGAATTTGCAACTCGATCGCTTTCATCGGGCAAAAGACATTCAAGTCTAGGCTGCATGGGTCAATCTGATGCGAGAGTGCCTTGTACCCGTACACTAAGAGATCGATGTCCAAGACAACATCGCCGGCAACCCCAGAATATCCATCGAATACCAGGCTCACTGAGTTGTTTCCAGGCGTGAGCACCGCACTCAGGTGGTTGATTGTGATCTCGGAGTTATCGGCTCCGTGGCATGCCGTAAGACCGTTGGCTTCAATGAGCTGCTCTGCATGCACCAGATGGAAGAGAATGAAGAGAATACATCCTCCCAGGCGGGAGGTCGACAATTGCATGGCGACCAAACGAGTGTGTATGAGGAAGAAGGTGAGGATCGTGAATCTTTTCTTTGGCGGATTTCCCTGATATCATCACACTCCACAGTACGACGTAAGCGCTAGGTGGGCCCAGGCGATCGTCCAAGCTGCGATTTGAAACAATTCCTTCTCAAGGCAACGACAATTTGAATGGCTTACATTGCTAATTGTAGGAGTTACATTTAAATGCGATCGTCCTGATATACAGATCTACCGAATACGAATTCCCCTGGCCATGAGGCTGCTGAGTGCCAGCCTTTCCGACGCTGCCACACCAGCCTTCAAGCCCAGGACGATCATAACAATATTGAGTGCATTTGGGATCAACCAATCTGGTTTTGGCGGTCTGCTTCCCCCAGGTGGCAACTGTCCAGGGCCCAATGCAACAATGTTCCAGTTTGGGCGCCCGCATGCCATTTTACCCATGGAACGCTACACCAATGAGGGGAATGTCTCACTCTAAGGCCGCTTACACATCCGATGACCGATTCACCAACGCTTTCCTTCATACTGTGCACGAACACAGCCTTTCCGCGAGCTTCCAGATTGGTCGTCTATCATTGCTGTTTTCGGTAGCAGGATCTGACCCCCACTAAAATTAGAACGTGGGTCGATTTGCAACCGCTGCCATATCTGACTGGCCAACCTACAATTGGGTTACTACAAATGTTCTCATCTTGCCCCAGATGGAGAGGCTGTACATGTATCTGGAGTTGCGGACCCTGGACCTTCTGTGTCCCACTACACGCGTACTACATATGGACCCTGCAATCCTCCTCGAGTCTCGAGTCAAGTCTGGAGCCAGGCTTATGCTCCACAGAGCCAGCCCTCCCAGCCCCATTCCAGCCCCGCTACAGGACCAGCCACGCTATAAGGATATGGCCGGATGCATGTGTTCATGACAGCTTAAGATGTTCGGTCGCACATACAATTGAACAAGTGGAATCCCTGTTGATGGTCCCTCGCATTTAGTATATCTCACATTGGCCGGCCAACATGCTTGCAGAGCAGGCATAGTGTAGTGTTCAGGTCAGCAACACATCTTCGGCATCTCACTTAATGTCTTCGTCAGCATTCCTGGCTTCGGAGGTCTGATTGCAACATTTCCAAACACTACGGGTAGCCAACGGACTCTTTCTCATTGCCCACGACAAACTCAATCTGTCGTTTATCTTTGCAATGCTAAAGTGCTGATCTATGCCGTGTCGGGGGTTGTGTGGCATGACGTAGAGATCTGCTATAACCTTGATTTCACAGGCATGCACACGGGATATGTATCAACTGGAAGACGATCAAAGGGAATTGTATACTCCAAATGATATCACACGTAGTCAGGGGGTGGATAAGTACATGTCTCTGCCCACTGACGCCCGCGCAGGGATGCTCCATCAGGTGTGTCACCAACAAAGCAAACTTCTATAACGTCATTATATCATTGCCATGGGAGTTTCCTATGGCTACCATAAATCGCTCGCTTCGTTCCTTCGTCTCCTCGTGAAGCCCCGACTCCACCTAAACCCCAAACCCGACCAGGTAGCCCTTGTCCCGTCGCGAGACGACGGCCAAACCATCAAGACCCATATCTACAAACCGGCCGCCCAAACCGGCCCAACCCCCGTCCTGATCAACTTCTGCGGTAGCGGCTTCGTCCTTCGCACTTTCGGTTCTGACGACGAGTACTGCCGCTTCGTCGCAGACAATGCCAACTACACCGTAATCGACGTACAATATCGCCTCGCCCCGGAACATCCCTTCCCAGCAGCTTTCCACGATGCCGAAGATGTAGTGAACTGGGTACGGTCGCAACCCGATCGCTTCGATCTTACGCAGCTATCGCTTTCTGGATTCAGCGCGGGTGCCAACATCGCCTTGGCTGTGGCATCTGCGTCAGAGCAGTTCAACCCAAAACAAGGGATATTCAACACGGTCATCTCGTTCTACGGGCCGATGGATATGTCCCTTCCCACACCAGAAAAGCCCCAGGCAGACCGCTCAAATTGGATCATGCGCAATATATTCCCGCCGTTCTCCCATCTGTGCCATAAATGTCTCAATCTGGGTAGAGTCGATCCTAGGGATCCGCGTATGTCGCCTATCTTGGCGGATCCAAACAACTTCCCAAACAAGACTTTAATAATCACTGCTGCGCAGGATCCTTTTGCTATTGAGGCTGAGGAGCTGTCGAAGAAGTTGAATGATACAGATGGGAAGGTTTCGGTGTGCGAACGGATGGAGGGGTGCGCTCATGGATGGGATAAGGAGGCTGTTCGAGGGACGTCGCAGTGTGACGCGAAGGACGAGGCCTATCAATTGGCGGTTAAAATTCTACGGCAAAAGGAGAGTGGAGCGGTGCCGAGTGCTGTATGTTGATGTTTGCTACGTTCTCATTTGATACCCGATAAACAGATACTAGACAAATATATCTCAAAACTTCAAAAGAGCCCCCGACTAAGTATTTTGAAGTACAAAGAGACACAGGGCTCAATCATCTAACAGATCATAGTTAAAAGAGAGTGGAGGGAAAGGGAAGAGAGAGAACCTTGAGGGAGCACGCAAGGTATCAATCAACCTGAGTATCATCCTCATCGACTATCTATTCTATCCTGAGGCCTGAGCTCCTTGACATCCTTAGAGCTCTGGTGGCTGGCCTGGCTCGAATTACGCAGTAAAATGATGGAATCCTTTAAATCTTGCGGAGGATATATATTCTCAAGCAGGCGATTGTGCGGTCGACCACGTGCCTCCTCAAAGTCACTTTATCTTTGCTAAGCTATAGGAACCTGTTGCCAACCTTGGATTATACAAGAAAGTATAAATATACCGCTAGCAGCCATCAACATGAAGATAATATTGAAAGGGAAGCATATAGGCAAAGAGGAACGGTCATCTCGAAATCCCGCAAGCCTGAGGCGGTCACGAAGGCTCGAAGGCTCCAAGGAGTCTCCGTAGAGACCGGTTCCTGAAATTAAAATCATCTACCGAGATATTTCATGTAAAAGAAGTTGAATAATAAATAATGATTCGTGAAAATGCGCGTCAATCGATGTAACGTCTATACAAAATCGTAGTCGTATGTACAACCTGTGGTCTATAAACCACTGTCTATATAAACTATTTATCTATAATCATATCGCTCATTTCTGCTGCTCTTCGTCTGAAGTACCAGCAGTGTTCTCTTGGTGGTAAGCGCTCTCCTTGACATCGTAACGGAATTGCTCCTCCTCGGCGGCGAGCTGCTCCTTGAGCATCTTGTTTGCGCGCCAGATAGGCTTCTGTTCGAACAGACGATCGACCTTCTCCAGAGGAATACCACTTGTCTCAGGAATAAGGAAGAAGGCGAAGAAGAATGCCAGGAAGGACAGGGAGGCGAAGAAAAAGTAGACACCGTAGTGCATCGCCTCGAACATCTGCTCAGTAAAGCGAGAGATGAGGAAGTTGAAAAGCCAGTTACTGGCAGTGGTGGCGGCCTGGGCCAGGGAACGGAAGTTAGGGTCGAAGAACTCCTGTTGGTTTCGTTAGAAAGAACTCGAAATGGCTGACGGCAAGGATCGGTAACTTACGGAGTTGATGACCCAAGGGGTACCGTTCCAGGTAGGGGTGTAGACGGCAGTCCAAAGGTAGAAGAAGAAGATAGCCGCGATACCACCGCCGTCGAGGTGAGAACTGGGGTTGTCTTCGGGCTTGACGACACAAATGTAGGCACCGATAACCCACATACAGATCGATCCGGTGATACCACCAACAAGGAGAAGGTTCCGTCTTCCGAATTGATCGACCAGGAACAAGAGCCACACAAACGTCATGATAGCCTTAACCACACCGAAAATACCGGTCATAAGGTTGACAGTGTTGGAGTCAACACCGATCTAGGAATCGAAGTTAGTATTGAAGAAGATTTATAGCTAGTGAAGTGTATGCATACCGATTTGAAGATAGTTGGAGAGTAGTAGTTGATGGCGTTGATGCCAGAACCGTTCTGCCAGAAGAAGAGCATACAACCCAGCACCAGACGGTACATGACACTCTTGTTAGAGGCGAGGGCCTGGAAAGGCTTCCAGAAGCCAATACCAATGGAGCTTCTCTGGTATTCAAGGGCCTGATCAATGGCGGCAACCTCTTCAGAGATGTAAATGTCGTCGGCATCTAATTGACGAATCCAGCAGAGGTTCTCCATCGCCTGACGGCGACGGTCCTTGAGGAAGAGCCAACGAGGAGATTCCTTGATCCACAAGGCACCGGCAAAAAGCAGACCGGACGGGATAAGCTGAATAGCAAATGGAATGATCCATTGCTCATGGTCCTGAGGCATGTGTTGTTCAACACCGTACTATCAGATTTAGGTTAGCTTGAATGCAAAGACGGCACAAACATCGACGAGATCGGCAGGGCTAGGGGACCCACGTTGATCCAGAAACCAAGCATACCGCCAATCTGCCAGCCGAGCTCGTACAGACCGACAAGCCGACCTCGGATCGCAGGTGGAGCCAGTTCAGAGAGGTAAATAGGGATAATGTTCGATGCCACACCGGTTCCTAGACCAGACAACACACGGCCACCGTATAGAATTCCTAGTCCTCGAGAAGAATTGGCACCCAGTTGTAGTCCAGATCCGAGCGTGAAGATGGCGGAAGCAACAGCCAAACACCATTTGCGGCCAACGAAGTGACCAAGGGCGTATGTGCCCAGGGCACCGAAAAAGGCACCGGCAATGAAGAGAGAGACAATGTTCTCGCTAATTAAATCTTGCTGGGCAGAGGACATCTTGTCGATACCGAATTCTTTCTGGAAAGATGACAGTGTGATAGTTGTACCGATGAAGGCACTGGTATAACCGATCATGTTGGAACCGCATGATGCGATGGCGGCGAGAGCATAGACACGCCAATTGTAAACGGACTTTGGCGTTGGCCGATCCTCGTGAAGTGTGAGAACACCCATGGCGGCTGTAGATGTAACAGCTCGGGGGAAGATGAATAAGGAGGTGAGGTGGGTGGGAGGAAAAATTTTGATCGGAGATGGAAAGAAGAAAATGGGTCAAAAGGTGCAGGAGATGGGTCCCTAAGTAATCTCTGCTATTCTAGTGGAATTGTGGGTGTGCAAATTCCCCAACTAAGTGCTCTCCACAGCACACGTCGCCTATATCCCCATAGACTGGGGCAATATGGGGTTTGAAGCTACGATAGAGGGATGATTACAGATGCATGGTGATGTGGGAACGTTGGCCGGGGTAGCGTTTTCCCCGGACAAAACATGGAAACATTCAGCCGGCAGCAAATAAGCTTCAGTATATATCTGACCCGGAATCCTCTTTCCTGGATGAAATCATAGAAAGAACAGGAATTCTTTGCTGTCAATATTTCCCTGTATATTGGATGCTCAATCCTAGACTTAGTCCCAAAGACTGACTATGAATAGCAGACATGCGGCATTCTCGCGCTGGAGACAGTGCGTTGTGCGTTTAGCCGTCTGAGCAGTATGGGGGCGCCGGTGAAGGCCATCGCCACCGAGTTATGCGTGGAGATATTTTGTGTCTCCGGGTCGGACGGAATCTTGTCTAAACCTTAGTGTGGAGAGGTATAGCGAGGTCCGCTTGTTAAGTGAATACCCCGAGATCTCATTTCCCCAGCTGTTCTGCATAGAAGTAAGAAAGACAAGGCCCACGGGGGAGAACCCTTAACCACAACTGTGGAGACGGCAATTTGCCGAGCTCTCATTGGGAAGGTCTCGGGGCCGGAAGAAGGGTTAAAAGTCTGAAGGGAGCACGCTAACCGCTTCGGTAAGTAATTTAAAGGTCACGTGCCTATACTTGCATCTGCATCTCAACACATTCCCACCATTATCATTGGTACAGCGTACGTAGATCCCCTTGCATCATATTATTATCTCTTGCCTCTATGGGATTCCACAATCCCACAGTTTTCCCCCCGGAAATGGCGGCACCGGCCCCCACTGCTCCGTTTGATAAGCTCAACCTAACTGTACTAAACGAAACTCCGGGGTTTCCGGGGTTTGACTCTGACTGTTGACAAATGAGAGGAGTGAATAAACCGATTCAACAAAGTGACATATGGTCATTTAGTCTGTGTGCTGTTGCTGTAGTCATTTCAATATCAAGACTAATATACTTTCTCGGGCCGGGTCGGCTTGGACGTAAGCCACCCGGTTCGGGCTTGGTACTTGAAAGGAGTCGACAAAATCGGCATCAAGACCGTATCCCTATTTGGACTCGGAAAACTTACCTAGGTCAAGACCGCTGACACATTTCAATATGTCAGGACCCACCAGGCCGGTGATGACACGGGGACGTTCTGAATTGATGTTCCTGGTTTCATCATTCATAACGTAGCATGAGGATGTGCCGGATACCGTCAAATCTCGGTCGGGATTGTTTGTACTCGCTAGAACTTTCTGTGCGTTCGGTAACTTTCTTCTCGCTTCGACAGGCCCCAAATAAACTTCTTGCAATTGAGCCGGCAAGGGACTTTGTGGTGTGGAGATGCGCAATGGTACAGTATGTCTTGGCCAGCAGGCCATGGTCCGCTGATCACCTCAAAAACTGGCACCATGACATGCGGCATTTAACCCTCAACCTCTAGATGAGGTATGAGCTGGCACCTCTGCAATTGAACTCCATTCTCCTGTCTGCATCACTTGCAGCTGGCCAGACGAAAGCTAATTAAAATTGGGTTTTCAGCAGTGTACCCCGCCTATCGATTGTTTTCAACAGCGAGACCGGACTTTGAGTTGGTCTGTGCCTGTATGATCACAAGTTGACAAGAGGGCACTCCGGCACAGCGTTTGGCCATTGCCACCGCAGCGGCAGTTTGTAAATAGGACGACGTGGAAGAAGGTTCTATTGAAAAAATCCTTGGCACGGCCTGCAATTAATCTCGTGGGGATTTGCCAGCCAAGTTCGGAAGTGATGTGAAGCGCATGCAGCACGGCCTCGCAGCTCGGAACCGGATATCCGTAGCGGTACTGGCAGAAGTAGAGCACACCGGCATCCAGATTGTGCCCGAAAAGCCATATGGGGGCTTCATGTCTACCTTCGGGTGGTGGAAACCGCCATGACTGGTACCTGAGGTTACTAAATGTCTGGGCGAAACTTGGCGACTGGACAACATCTGTGTCAAACTATGAGATTCTACGGCTGGGAATCATTACCACACCAATGCGGTTATTGCAATGCAGAATGTATATCCGGGAACCTTTCGGGATTGGCTGTTACTGCTCACAAAGAGCCTAAGATATTCGAAATACCTGCTAAGCATGGCGGGCGGAAAGCTTCTCGACACTTTTCCGCCGTGGGGGCACAAGATGCTTGGACCTGCTATATATTATTGCTGCCCGGCATGTTGACGGCAGTCGCCCCACCATAGTAGTTTTGGCGTGAGCTGCTTGGCAGGTCTCATCTGGAGTCTTGCCAACAAACAGGATGTCTTCGAGCGACGGGGAGTTCTGAACAATATACCATGGTCGTTTGGGTTAAATTTGCTAAGTATGATGATGTCAGACCTTTAGGAGCCAAATATCAATTGAAATGTGGCAGAGAAAGGCAGACATTCTACTGTGATGCTTGTTGATGGTCAAGTAGACGATTTGAAGGCCCGGGCTTCAATATGGATATTTCGAAGAAGACGAGTATCTTCGATGCCTGATGCAGTTTCCGATCCATTTAGATAGAATTGGTAGAATTTCTGTGGAAGGTAGCCATAGCCCTCGCGTTGAACCACAATATGGAAGTAGATTGGACTTAGGGTGGTGGCCTGAGGCATTAAAGCCTAAGGCATCAATATCCTTGTGTTTCTGCCTGAGGCAGAAACACGTGCTATCAACCTTCGGTGTTTTTCGAAGTCGCGCGGTGTCAACACAAACCAGCAGTAGCTTTAAAAGGGCCAACGGCTTGATCGATGCAAACCAAATATATCCGGGAGTAGTGGCTGGTTCTTCTCATGGGGATTCTGCGCATACCTCATATCCCCGACCATGACCACATCTAAAGCGGGGCAATAGTCTGCGAATCTCAGCAGCGCGCTTTCGGCCATTAAATACTAAGGTATGGCGATGTTGAAACCACAGGAAAAGGTTGCTGTATCTCAGGCGGACCAAATATATACTGACTTATGAGCAGAAACGCAGAAAAGACCTCATCGCCAGCAGATTTTCAGGATGGAGAACCGGGTGACTCTTGGCTCTATCCAGAAGACCGTCTGGGACGGGCGCATCCCACTGGAAATTGTCCTGGCATCATCGGAAAGTCGAACTTTTGATCAGACAGATCCATACCTCGTATGTCCCCTCAAACACTGCACGACAAGACGCTAACCCCGTCTGTGAGATCTCATACCCACGCATCTCATATCTCCCCTCGTTGCTTCCTAAGCTTCGAGCATTTTTCTCGAACTCATTAATAGAACCAGACTCCCAGCCACATGATGGTTGGTTCGAGTTCGAGGGAGTGCCTCTGAAGTGGCATTACCCAGTCGGCCTGCTATTTGACCTCTATGCTGGAGCGGACCCTGCTTCAAAGACTACCTCAATAGGTGACGAGTCCCCCGATAGAGTTTCACCGTTACCTTGGAAATTGGTAGTTCATTTCAGAGACTGGCCGGATGAGGAACTTGTGCGGCTTGATGCCGATGGTATGGTCATGAACGATGCCTTCATCAACAGCGTGAAGGAGGCGGATTTCCTCCGAAACGGCACAGCAAAAGGCATCATGAGCCTTTCGAAAGAAGACTCGTCGGGACTCTGGAAGGCCGTCGAAGATGGTACGTGACATTCTGCCTAGAGTTCTTCACTTGTACAAAGGAAGAACATCAATCTCACGAGTATACAGTTGACCTCCCCTCCTTCCAACGCATATCAAGCATTCTCCTTCCCCAACTATCACAGCCTTTCCGAAATGTCCCAGTTAGGATCTTTCTTCCACTCCCACCAGATGCGGAGTCCTCGTCCTTGAAAGTGGTACAGTCACCAATTCCACCTTCAATACCAGCGTCGAGCATGCAGTCAAGTCAACTTTTGCCATCGCGTGCCAGTCCAACTACCCAGACTCAAACCGTGGGGACTATTCTGCACACGTTGCTACCAAATCTCTTTCCTAGTCGGAGAACTCCTGTTCTCGCGAAGCCTGTTTTGCATGGCGCTGTGATACCTATGTCGGCTCCAATTGAGGAGGTGGTTAGAAGCTCTGCTTATGGGGATGGGTGGGCGTATCTGGTCGTTCGGATGATGGGATGAGCTCATCCAAGGAGAATTCCATGTCTATCCCGTTAAATGCCTTTAACATTGCCTTGGTAGACGTGGGATCTTACTGCAGGATAGTTGGCTGTTTCATACTCTAAGACCCCTTAACATTGCTTCATCTACGTCAAACACAGGGAAATTCTATGGAGTACCGAGCATCTTATTAGTTAAACATGTTCAATTAGATGTCTAGCCCAAGAACGTTAACTGTAGTTCACTCAGCGTCTCGCGACCCGGGGCAAGCCTTGCGATGATCGCAACGGCATGTAGTAGCACACGTGCGGCGAACACATTGTTAATGAAGGAGCTATGAGCGAGGCGAGCTCACCTGCAAACTCCAACTACAGAGAATTTGAGTTCGACCGCCTCAAATATGGAGCGCCATGGCGCGATGCATGGGGATCCACACGGGATGTCAAAAAATCTAGATTTAGCCAAATCTGCCGAGGTCTTTCAGATGAAACTGAATGCTAACAGTATGCAAAGGGAACAATTGGACTTCCTGATAAAGACAGAATTGAGAATTTTCAGTCCTGAGGGTTTCGACAAAAGAGGAAGCGGGAAACCGATCAGAAAATTTCTTCAGAGCGCTAGGCACAGTGTTCAGCACAGTTCGCACTATGTTCGCGGAACACCGTCCGGGTCCATAAGTGGAGATCGGCGTGAGCCTCGGACCTTCACAATAACCGATTGTGGGTTAAGGGGCGGCTTGTAACGAAATTTGATACCATTCTATGACAACTCATTACTATAGACTCATTGTGACCGAGTCCCTCATTATAGCCACTCATTACACCTCATTACAATTATCCACTCCAGGTGGCCCATCTCACTCCAAAAAAGAGCTGTTTCGTAGGTAGCTCAGCTTGACAAAGACTTTTTCGAGTCTCTTGTCTACGAAGAGTTCGAGTTGTCGGCGCAGCTGAAAGCAGAACCTAGAAGGAGAAAAGTCAGTCGCAAATCATGCAGCGTAGAAGGTATATCAAACTTACCAATCGCTCCCGTGGCGTAGGCATCGATGATTTGAATAACAACACCATAGGTTGCACCAACAAGGAAGAAAACTCCCAAGAGAACCATTCCCCAGTGCAACAAGTAGATTAACTTTTGCACAAGGCTGCCCTTCCGGTAGTGGCCGTTGCTGTAGAGCCACAGGAAGCCAGGAAGACACATGGCGAGAGGAGCAAAGCATAAGGAGCCAACAAGTGCAATCAAGTAGTTGAAAATAGGTATAGCTTCGGCGAGGATGAAGGAAATGGCGCCGAGAACAATCGTGCAGCTCAACCAGGTAATCCAATGCACAGCCGTGTTCGCCTGCAAATGACGAGTCTTGCCCAGAATGCGCACAAAGACGTATTTGGCGGCGATCTAGATAAAAATGTCAGTCTCATGTCTCTCTGACTTTGGAGTTCCCCAATGCTCACGTGCAAGTAGATTGTGGCGCTCATGACCAATCCCACCAGGGCGACGCCATAAGATACCATCTTGATCGTTTGTCCAGCGCTCTATATCAAGCATTGGTTAGTTCGTGGATGATACATGGAACATGGAATCTGTGTAGGGATACGTACACCCAAGGATGGACTAGCCACCCATTGTCCACACCAGCTATAGACAACCAAGCTGAAGGCAAGGTACGACGCAGTCACCAAAGCCATGCATAGATAAAGAGACTTCTTGTAATCCTTCGGATTCCGCATCTCCGACATCACCGGGATGAAGGCACTGGTACCAGCCGAGGAAACAAATATAGTGCTAGAAGCTACCATGCCAGCCGCAAACCCGGGGTTGTTGATAGCCACGAAGCCGAGGTCGTAGGGGCCCTCTTGGGGTGCGGCTGCAGGTCGGTCGCGTGTGGTGACTCCGATGACAACAATCAAGACTGCGGCGTAGATCGAAATGAATCCTACATATGTGAGCCAGCCCACATGCTGGAGTTTGCGTACCGAAGCTGTCGCGACAATCACGACCGCCGCGATCAACGACCACCAGACAGTGCACGCAGCATGGTGCGAGAGAGCATTCAGTGCTGTTGACACTCCAATGATACCACTGCCTGTGACAAGGACATAACCTATGAGGAACATCAGACCGGTCAATTCTTTCGCGAAGAAACCGCCAGCAACCTCCGCCATATCGGCGATGGAGTGACAGTGGGGATATTGCTTGCGGAAGTTGCCCAGAATCACGAAAGAGTAGGTGTTGAACGCGCCCCAGGCGACGATACTAATAGAGCCACCCACCGCACCGAGTGAATAGAGCGATGATGGCAGCGACAGTACACCTGTCGCGAAAAGTACCTTCACGAAGATAATGCATGCCTTGAACCAGCCGACATTGCGGAAGCTGACACCGTCCTCGGTCTTCTTAAAGACTTCATGCTCCTCAGTCGAGTCTCGGGGACTCCCCAACTCCGTGTCGTGCACACTTGCCTTCTCATCAACAGTCATGGTTGCGATTGGCAAAAAGACAAAAGAGAAGCACCACGCTGAAGAAAAAGAAGTTCTGAGACTCAAGCGCAATAAAAAGAAAATTTCTCAGCTTTACAGTAGTTCGCCTACACCATGTGCCGGTAATCTACTGTGGATACTCAAATGCAAGCGACAGCACGCTAGTTGAGTAGTGAGGAACTAGTATGCCGTGACTACACTTATAGTTTAGGTTGATCTGAAGTGACAAGAATATGTCCACTCATTTGTTACAAGTAACCTTCTTAGGCTAGAAGTCTCCACCATTTGTCTCGTATCTAAATTGCAATCAATGAAGTCTTCAAACTGTCTCCACACCACATCCACATGCCTCGGTGCAAGTACATCGATTTTAGATGTGCATCATCCTTTCGCTAAGTCGCTTTAGATTTGCGTATCTTTTATCCATATTTTATCATTGATAAAAGGGATTGCAGGGCTCCTGCTGGTGATAATATCACTGTTAGCTGGTTCAATTCTGAAAGGCCCACTGTAACCATTCAACACTAGGGAATTCCTATTGATATGAAAAAAATCAACAAATAGTTCGTTTAATATTGAATGTTTCCTTTTAGCTTTTACTAGTCTTAGAATATGAAAAGGGTCGGAGTCATGGCTTCAATGTACTGTACAGATGCTTGGTCAAGGCAACGAGCTCCATACATTTCGATGTTTATATTGACTACTTTCATACTTTCTTAGACATGACGCAGGATTTAATACTATAAGTGGTGTGGTAATATTGTAGGCCAACGGAAGGCCGTTTTCGACCTTGGCTTGAGCTATGTAGGCAGATTGTTATAGCGCAAAGGCTTTCCTAACCTGCGAGACTCGAAGCGTTAGCAAATGAATTCGCAAATAAAAGCGCACATTACGCCATGATAGTAAATATAGGGCCAGTTTCTGTCATCATATCCAGGTCTGATATACAACTGGCTGAGACCCGCAAGGTTGCGAGTACAAACGTCTCATTATAATTGATTCACAGCAACTTACTAAAGATTATAAAATGTGTCAAGAGTAGACATGCAGGTACGGTGAAAATGACAACACGTCACATCAATTAACACATATAAAGTGCCATAGTTGTCCACATTTCATATCGACTCTCACACGTATCAGCCACCATCAAGGTCAAACACAGTCCAAATTTAGCTGAACAGAGTGACAACTCAGTTGAAGAATATTGCACTTATTGGCGTGAGTTATCTTCTGAACTATCTGACGTCTCTAAATGAAAGTTAACTTTCTCTTTAGGCCAGCGGGAGTATTGGTAAGATAATTGCCCTTGTTGCATCGCCTGACGTCAAAGTATCTGTCCTGTCACGCAGTTCGAGCGAGGCAACCTTTGATTCTGATGTCAGTGTTCGCAAAACGGATTTCTCCGAGGCTGATCTGGAATCCGCCTTGAGGGGTCAAGATGCTGTAATTTCAGCTGTGTGCGCCACTGGGTTTGTTGACCAGAAGAACTTTATTTATGCTTCCATCCGCGCTGGTGTGAAGAGATTTATTCTCTCCGAGTTTTCTTCGAACACCTTTAGCGATGCTGTCATACAGTTGGTGCCTCTTTTTGAGCAGAAGAGGGTGGTCCTCGATTACCTAAAGTCCAAGGAGTCGGAAGGACTCGCCTGGAGCGGTATCGCCACTGCACTTTTGTTTGACTGGGTAAGAATGCGATGCAATTATTTGATTGAGATGCCTTTGTGATATTTTATTCTGTAATAGGGTCTTACCACTGGGTTCCTAGGCTACGACATTACGTCTCGTACTGCAACCATCTGGGACGGGGTTGACAAGACATTTACACTCGTCAACGAGAACAACCGGGAGAGGCGGTAGTTTCTGTTCTGAAGCTGCCCCAGAAACTGCCAACCAATATTTTTACGTTGCATCGGTTGAGACCTCACAGAAGGAGATCCTTGGTGCTTTGGAGGAAGCCACCTCCTCCAAGTGGACGGTGACAGATACTAGCACTGATTCTGAGATCAGCGAAGCTGTCAAAACGCTCGGCATTGGTGACTTCAGCGGTGCCTTTATGCTGGTTCGTGACACAAGCTATGCCAATACTCCTGGACTTCGTGCCAACTACGTGAAAGATGAGAAGCTAGCGAATGGTTTGCTTGGATTAATGAAGCAAAGTGTCAAGGACAGTGTCATTCAGGTTGTTGATAAGCTCTAGAAGCTTAGGACACCAGTGTTAATGGCCGTTAGGTCATGACCGGCATAGAGAGGAATATCAGAGATTCGAATACAAATCTGAATTGTTGTTCTGATGAAGCTAAATGTGCCAAGTATCATGGCCATCTTATTGTGTCTAAAAAGTGTTTTTATAACACCCTTGGAGTAACTGGTCAGATGTGGGATTTTTGAAACTAGTATTGCAAATTTGAGATACTACATGGTTGTGGTTGGGACTGACTTGCAATAACGTTATATATCATCGGAGTTTTCTGGAAAAGCCTGTAACAACCTTGACACAGTGGATATATAATCAAACATCATGCTTTTAATTTCACCAGTTTTCCCTTGTTTATCGTATGATAATGCTTTTCGTGACTACTACCACCACGTTTGTCTGCTTTTGCCTTCATGGTGTGCTGAACAAGCTCATTACGCAGTGTGAGCGGGCTGTGCTGCCATCCCTTGTCTCGTGGAAGGAAGCTTGGGGACAATTTTGCCCGGGAATAGAAGAAAATACGAGTCGACCCAGGGTTCGCATATTGCGATCCTCATGCTCTACGAAAAAGGAGTAATTTTCAACGACATCATTCCAAGGCCTAGATGTACTCGTAATCTAGGATGAAGACGGAGTTGAAGATCATCAATCCCGAGATGAGAGTCCCTTTATTGAAGCCAGCTCGGGATTCATTCTACATCTGGAGGTGATCAGACTTTGCGTCACGCTAGAGTGGCCTTACCGACCGAAGAAGAACCGTTCGAACGCAAATCAGGCATAAAATGCCTGTTCGGCGATTATCTAGCGCTATGCGTGGTTATGGCTGAAATTTTAGCCATCATTTCTGTTTTATTACCGGTCCGCTGCTCTGGTCGCGTGGCACTACTGCAGTATGGAGACGGGTTGACAGGGCAACAATATGCAAGCTGCGCCTTATGGATCTATACCGGGGGAGTGCGGATGAAGTCAAGATGGGCTATGTTTCAGACTAAAGCGTGCGTGTTTGGCAACGGCAAACCTCCTCAAGGGATGGTCGGTGACGCCGATCACTACCCCTTCGGTGGCGTCCTTGGGACCGCGACCCCCTTGGAAGATTTGATTTTGGGGTCTAAAAGCTATGTTTTTGTGATAGGTACAGTCAAGGGGAGATTGGATGACCCATTGAGTTTCTGTAAGATCCAGGGGCTAGATTTTAATAATTCAATAATTTGAAGGATTTACTAAAAAAAGTAACTAGTTGGACTAGTACGAGGATCATTGCGGGGATTAGGGCACAATTCGACCTGACTATACATATACACCAGCATTATTGCCAGCTCACCTGAGACCACCTCGGGAACGATCGGCTTCTACAAGTCTTGAAAGCCCTAAGAGCGAATGAGGGATCGACGCATATTGTGGAGATAAGGTTGTTGGAATTCCACAGCTCGGACCAGGCGTGCCTTGCATAACAAGGGCCCACATCATTAAACATAGCTCGCTTAGCAAGACTGGAATGAGACTTTTAACACGCGTGGGAAAAGCAATCTTATTATCTGAAACAGCGGCTCCCATATGGCTTCTGTGGCTTGCGCAGGGAGTCAGGGGCGGATCTATACCGCTACAGAGATATTAATAAAAATGGCTGTTAACATGCCTCGTATAGATGCACATATTTCGGTAGGGCACGCGGTACGGTCCACTGCGCTCTGCGGACCGTAAGCCATGCCAAGCGGAGAACTTTCGGATGTTCAAGGGTGCTCCATCTTAATAGATGGTTGTAGTCTAGGGCATCCGGTAGTGGTCTTGAGCCACAGGCCCAAGCTGACCTGCTCAGTGTCGTAAACAAGCGCCTTTGAGGCTTGAGCGCTTTAGCTGATGAAACCAGAAGGATCAAAGTGCCACTAAGTGGCGCCCCCGTAAATCCAGTTGCTGATGTTTCCTTTCTGGGATGGTTGGGTATCTGGACTCATCATACATACTTATCCTCAACAAGGCAATCCACGTGCCCCTTTTTCAGACACGCTGCATAATAGACATTTGTAGCACTCTGAAACAAGGCACTCGCGTGTTGGCGATCTTAATTTTCCTAGCGCAGGGTCCTGGCATGCTGTCGGCCGGCATTATGGCGGTGCAAAATGACCCGTAGGGCTCAAGACGTGGCTGGTATGGATCTGTCACCATCATTATGACCTTACGCCGAGTGTTCCGGCCAATCCTTGACTCACCAAGAGATCTGCAAGGCTAATATCAAGAACGGCAAAAGAAGAGGCGCGCGTGGCCCGGGGAATGCAGCATCGTTTACGCGGTCTTGGCCTTTCGGACCTATGAGACCCTTTGAACGTAGAGCTAAGCCCCTGGGCCAGTGCATGAAGCTCCATGTGATCGACCACGCGACATTGTTTCACCCTTGAGCTCTGTTTCAAGTCCCACGCGAGAATGCCGGACCTTGCGAAGCGCAGTTACCGCCAAGATGATTGACGGTCTTCAACTTGGGCTTAGTCACTTCGCCATGTTCTAGGCCCTAAACATGACGTTTTAGTCTTCTTCCATGAAGATCATGATGTTGCCCTTGTTTGAGAATCCCGTTGGAGATCCGTTTGCAGAACGGCTGGACTTGTTTCTTCCGCACCCCCTCGCTTCATTCCACGGCACATATACCAAATCTGGTTACTCCCTCACCTGAAACATGTGGTTGGCCATGTGCTAAAGAAGAATGTCTTTTTTTAAATTATTCACATCGCAGGGACGAGGTCATCCTTATGCATCTAGTACCTGCCTCCTAGCCCCAGCTTCCTGCAGCTCGGCTGCAGCTTGGCCAATAGCAGCGGGCTTGTCGCCTGTTTCACATAGATGGACCGAACGGGTATGTGCGTTTGACTATGGAGATCTCGGACTTGCCCACATCAGGAATTCCAGACCCACTTGCCATGGTTCATGCGGACTACATCTTGGCCTTAAACGTTGGTTCAAGGGTCGACATGCCGTCACAGCCCCATGGCAAGTGGATCTGGAGTAGATGCGAACCGAAGATCCTTCCTTCATTCCTACTTTCGTTTAGCTCGCCCGGTCCATGTGGGCCACGATGCAAGCTGCTGAAGCTCGCGTGTCCGTCCGGGAAGGCATGCCGTCTCCATGCATACCCTCAGACCTGCAGTGTATATATAGGAGAGCTCCTGCTCATCTATGGCCTCATTATTCCCTAAGTATCCAGCCTGCTTCAATCAAAGAAGGTCAATCTCGGTCAAAGACATACCTCAATTTCGAGAACCATACTATTACTACAACATTCCCTTCCATTGCCGGCCCTGTTTCGTTGCCTGTCAAACTCTCAGACACCCTCAAAAACCTGCAACGCCATTCAATCTACCAACTACCACCCCCAATCCCAAATCATGTCTATCCCAGAACCAACAACCTCAAAGTGAGTTCATTTTTGGACTAAATGAAGTAGCCAATCGACTAACAATTACCTACAGCATGATCAATGGCACCGCCACAACTACCGCCGCCATTAGCAGCACAAATATCAGTCTAGTCCCAGGAAACAACCGGAACAGCCTCGACCGATTCGCACGAGCACCAGCTTCCGAAGGGCCATATTTTGCGAGCGCCCGCATGGGGGAGAGATCAGCACACCTCAGCAGGCTATCAAGCCAACTCAATGCCATGGATGCAGTCTTGAATATCGGAAGATGACAAGAGAAAGGAGAAAGAATTGTATAAATTGAGCAGCATCTATGTGTATATCTATCTAGTATATGCGAAGGAGATATCAACGAACGTCGCGAGTTATCAAACTTCAAAACCGGGGCATTCCAAATAGCTCAGTTCACAGTATATCGAAAATGTAACTGGCAACCTCTTCGTATTTGGTACTGGGGAACTCGTGTCCCGCCTCATAGAACTTGAAGACGACATTTCCACCCAAGGCAGCTGTGGCGTCTGGAACAATCTCACTCTTGACAATGATTGCATCATTGTTGCCGCACAGAATGTGAACCTTGTTGTCAGAAGGTCTCTTATCTTCGCCACTAGAGACACTGTTCTGTACGGTAAGGTACTCTCCAAGGCGCGTCCATGTGTTCCATTGGCGTTGTCTCAGAATAGGGCCATGACGCATGCTCGACATGAACGCGTGCACGAACCCTCTATGGTTATTCACCTGCCACGCCACCGCAGCAGGGACGTTAACGTGGGGGTATTCCCGAGACAGGAGCTGAATCTCAGCAGCGTTCTGTGAAGGCAACTCCTCGGTGAGCGCATCTGAGGCATTGAGCTTATGGTTCTTGGACTTGGGGGCTACTAGGGGTCCAGCCCGCAGTCGACGACCAACCAAGTACCCTAGCACATTCTCGGGCACGAAACCACGCTCGTATAGTAGGCGGCTCTGGAAACTGACTTGCGAATCACGGACCAAGCCTGCAGGAGCGAGAAGCACCAACGACGATATGAGCTGAGGGAAATATGCAGCAAAAGCAGCGGCAATACCGCCCCCCAGGGAGTATCCTGTAAGGCAAAATTTACCGGACTCGGCGCCCGTCCAAGAAAGGGGTGATGAGGCCAGAGCAAGAAGGATCTGTGTCGTGAAAAGACGGCTGTCTTGGGGAAGATCTGCGGGTGAGTCGGAATATCCTCGACCAAACCTAATTTGTTTGAATAAGCACCGATTAGAGAAAGAAAAGGGACCAAAACACATACAAGTCGAAGAGCATCACGCGGCACCCCCGGTCCACCAGAGCATGGGCCAATCCACCTAGCGCAATACACGGCGTGGTGATACCGTGCACTAAAAGCACCTTGGCACCATGTTCGGGGCCCCATTCGTATACTCGGATAGAGCCATATGGGGTTGCTACATCGCGTGCACCAGGCAGGACATCAGTTGGGAGTGGCAGTTGGCCATTTTCTGCCTCCGAAATGCCAGTCAGCAGTGTCGATCGAGGAGAGGCAAGGATAGTCGGGCGTGTTCCGCCTCCAGTGAAAAGAGATCGAGCAAAAAGACCCAGTGTAAATGAAGCACCCGTCACTGCTAGCAAGGGAATCTGTGTCTTGTGGTTCGAGAAGGACTCGGAGAGGAAATCCACAGTTTGGCTGTATAGGGCCATGGTTGCGCTACGGGTTAACCCCTGGGACGACCGAGTTGGGGCAAGCGGTTGTTGCAAGCCTTTCTAGCGACAGAAAACTTCTGATTGAGGGGAAATGAGACGAAGGAGTAAGAGGCAGCCTGAATGAAGTAGATGGAGTGAGGTTGGTACGAGGAATGTGTTGGGGAGAGACGGGTCCGAGGCTCGCGCGCTGACGCCATGTGCCTGATAAGATAAGAGATAACGCACAAGTATACAAGTCAACACTTCACTTCTGCCGTGTTCGTCGCTTAGCGGTATGATATCAAGGAATGAGGCATGGAGCCTGATAAAATTATTTGCAGCTATCCCTGAAAGTCTCGACCTGCTAGACTGATAAACAGACCTGAAACTCATTGAACAGGATTTTTACACATGCTTTTTAACTGATGAAAGGATATATATTTCCTAGTGGTGCAGAGGGTCCTCCTACAGTAAATACTGGAATTCATTTCGCGCAAGCAAGGAAGCACCCAATTCTGCCTAAAATAACTGTCGAGTAAAACAACTTAAACTGGCTTCAAAGCACTTCATCTCAACAGGAAATGATCGACGTCTCATTTCAATCTTTTACCCAACACTGCAGAATAGGCCACCAAGGACTTCCTTGTTATTAAAGTCGATACCTCAGTCGCTTATGTACGGCTCTTCATTCCCGAGGAGATCTATCCACTTACAAAAAAAAAGCCTTTCATGCTTCGTCCGGGGTACATTCACCTCCCAGATAATTGGCTAGATAGCTTGGCATATATGCTAACGATGAAGAATACCGTGTCAAATCTGGCCATTGGACCTGATGGCATACGTGGAAAGATGATCGAGCCTGACGCGATGTAATAATGTCCCTCGTTTTCAGCTGATGCCTCCGTATGCGACATGCAGTTGAAACTCATAAATCAGTAAATATAGTTTTGACGCTGACCTACAGAGCAAGTACTTCGACTTTGCAAGATTTAGTACTGGGTTATGTATCGAGAAAGGCTGGGTTTCATGTTCAATTGACAGGTATATCCCCGCAAACCCGTGTCAATTCGTGCCAGGTACACAAGATCTCGATGTGGAGACAAACCCAACCCTTGTATTTTTCTCCACCGCTGCCCGCTAATATTATCCGGCCGAATAACCAATGTTCTGCTTTATCCAGACCTCGGGAAGTGCATATTCGCCCGCTTAGGGTCTTTGACTGCCAAGACGGTGTATATACCACTTTAAATTGATATAATCCTTGATACAGTGCCTCTTTTAGGCTAAAAGCGTCAGAATCTCCAAGTAGTCATCCAGGAAGACGTTTCCAGTGGTGGAATCCGGCGTGCGATTGACGGTGCTAGCCAAGACTTAGTATCTGTCCTTCAATTTACCTTCAATTTACCTTCTTTCTCACTGAATGCTTCAAATTGGGATACTTGACCAATAAAAATGCTATTTCTCCACAAGCCAGACCCTGATGCACTTTATCTCTTGTGCTAAACGTTTCTTCCATACCGAACTCGGAAATGTTCCAGAATTGCCGGCGACGTATCTGCGTGGGAGTTGTAGTTTATTCTACTTAGTTACCATTAACCTTAACAATGGTGGCTACTACAGGGAGCTTAATATGTTTGATGAAAGTGTATAAACTGTTCATAATGCGGACTTTTCTCAGATGCTTCGGAATACCTCTGCATTACGCCAACCAGCTAAATGTCTCATCAATATGAGAGAAAGAGATTGAAATACCCAATGATTCCTGGGCGGTAAGCAGTCGCCCTCTTATTGAAGGATATTCTCTCCGTTCTCTCCGTTGAGCCCAATATTACCGAGGAGCGGCGTGGTTTCGGTCTGAAACGCCCTATACCCGTAGGGTCTGCAGAAATTGCCCCATGCTTCGGCTTAACGCCTCGCAGATTAGATGGCTTGCACAAAAGGATTTTGGCGGTTTGACATGAAGTGGAGGAGCGCCATGGCGGCGACACCAATCTAGCGGCGCTCTTGGCGACTTATCCCCACAAAAGTTGTCTCATGATGCTTTAGGGTATAGTTAGGTTTTATCACCAACACTTCCAGAAAACATTGGTTCTGAATACAATTGACCAAACAATTTATAAGGCCGTTTGACAAAGCGTTAATCTGTAGCTACTATTCCTGAAATAGCGTTCCCAAACATCAACGGATAGAACTGGACCGGGTCGATCTCCGTGTTTACAGATGTTGAAACTCTGCTTATCCACTTTCTGCCGGAGTCTTGATGAGACAGCAACAACTGTCCGGCGACGATCTTTTCCATCCTTATTCGGTATCGGGTCCACTCCCAAATCAATATACGACCCCGGAGGTCGCCCAGTATGGAATACTGACAACAGATGTGTTAGCTCTCTCGTCTATACCAGTTCAGGTACGGTCTTACAATCCGCTACGCCGGCCATGATATGCCGAAAGGACCCTGGTCAAGTCTTACATGCCAATATAACCGAGAGCAAGCCTCAGGGGAAGGGATATATAAAGACCCCAGGACACCCCCGTGTTTCTTGTTCTTCAACTGCAGGCCAGAGAACAAGTCATCGCTATATTGCAATCCACTCCTTTCTCCTTCGCAACAATGTACCAACGCGCCCTCCTTTTCTCCGCCCTGGCGGCGGCAGTCCGTGCCCAGCAGGCTGGCACATTGAAGACTGAGACTCATCCTTCTTTGACCTGGCAGAAGTGCACTGCCGCTGGCAGCTGCACTGACCAGTCCGGCTCCGTTGTCATTGATGCCAACTGGCGTTGGACTCACTCCGTCGATGGCTCCACCAACTGCTACACTGGCAACGAGGTGAGATATCTGGCCCCCTAATGACGTGGGTATTGGAATTGAGAGGCTGACTCTGTGACAGTTCGACGCAACTCTCTGCCCTGATGATAAGACTTGCGCTACCAACTGTGCCGTCGATGGCGCCGACTACGAAGGCACGTACGGCGCGACTACCGATGGTAACGCCCTGACCTTGAAATTCGTCACTGGTGCCAACGTCGGTTCTCGCATGTTCCTGATGGAGGATGACAGCACCTACCAGATGTTCAAGCTGCTCAACCAGGAGTTCACTTTCGATGTGGACACCTCGGGTCTTCCCTGTGGACTCAACGGAGCTTTGTACTTCGTTTCCATGGATGCCGATGGTGGTATGGCCAAGTACGATGGCAACAAGGCTGGTGCCAAGTATGGAACTGGCTACTGTGATTCTCAGTGCCCTCGGGACTTGAAGTTCATCAACGGTCAGGTGAGTATCCATGATTAACAGAGCTAATTAGTCGTACGGACAGAATGGCTGATGTGTGAACTAGGGCAACGTCGAGAGCTGGAAGCCTTCCGAGAACGATAAGAACGCCGGTGTTGGCGGCCACGGATCCTGCTGCAATGAGATGGATATCTGGGAAGCCAACAGCATTTCCACTGCCGTGACTCCACACCCTTGCGACGCTGCCGGCCAGACCATGTGCGAGGGCGACAAGTGCGGTGGAACCTACTCTTCCAGCCGCTACGCCGGCACCTGCGACCCGGACGGATGTGACTTCAACCCCTACCGCATGGGCAACGAGAGCTTCTACGGGCCCGGCAAGATCGTCGACACCAAGTCCAAGATGACCGTTGTCACCCAGTTCATCACCGACGACGGCACCGACTCCGGCGGCCTCAAGGAGATCAAGCGTCTCTACGTCCAGAACGGCAAGGTCATCGCCAACTCCGCCTCCGATGTCAGCGGTGTCTCCGGAAACTCCATCACCACTGACTTTTGCACTGCTCAGAAGACTGCCTTCGGCGACGAGGACATCTTCACCAAGCACGGCGGTATGTCTGGCATGAGCAAGGGCTTGGAGCAGGGTATGGTTCTCGTTATGAGCTTGTGGGATGACCACAACTCCAACATGCTCTGGTTGGATAGCAACTACCCTACCAATGCCACTGCCACTGACGCTGGTGTTGCTCGTGGCACTTGCGGTGCTGATTCTGGTGCGCCTAACGATGTTGAGTCTAACTCTGCTTCGGCTACCGTGACTTATTCCAACATCAAGGTTGGCCCCATTGGCTCTACCTACTCTTCGTAAATTCGAAAAACAGACTGGGCAAGTCAGCCATGGCCTGGCCATACTCGGAAGGCTCGACTCATCGTGCTCGTCTTAGAGCCAGGATCAGCAATTGCCCGGTATGAAGTTAGTTTATGGCATGTATTGAGTCTGCGTTACGGTCATTTGTATTATATTTCATATGTCTTCGTTAGGAACAGTGACAATGAAGTCTGAATTATTACTTGATGTCATTTGCGTAGAAAGGGCGGTGACGGATGATTCTCGGCCCGGCAGAAAAAAAACGGCCAGCTCTAAGCTTTAGCTCTTGCATTCACCTCTCCTAGTTCCAATTCGTATTCATTTTGTTCCTGTGCTGAAGACCGCTTCTCAGTCTTCTTATTTACTTCGATTTGCCGGTCTGCAGCCATGTTTGACACGGTCTGCACGCTTCCGCTCCCCTCGGACCTGTTCTCTCAGGCGATCCACCCCGAGGAACCGGTTGTCTCTGTTGGTCTTGCTTCAGGCCACGTTCAGACGTTCCGATTGCCTTTCGAGGACTCTGATGAAGATGATGATGCGGTTTCGAACCCGTCTGCCCGTAATGGCAAGGGCCACATTGACACTATGTGGAAAACCAGACGCCATAAGGGTAGCTGCCGCACCTTGGGATTCAGCACAGATGGTCAAACGCTCTATTCAGCTGGCACAGACGGCATTGTGAAGGCCGCGAAGTCGGAGACTGGTCAGGTCGAAAATAAAATTGTTATTCCTTATGAGAAGGACGGGTATGGAAGCTCTTTCCTCTTCAATTCAATGATTTGCATTCGCTAACTGTCTTGCTTTTTCCCATGTAGGTCAGTGGATTGCCCGACTATTGTCCATGCTCTTTCTCCTCAGACTCTCCTTCTTGCCACTGATTCGAGTGCGCTGCACCTCTACGATCTTCGCGTCCCGTACTCGAAGGTCTCTGCGAAGCCTGAACAGTCGCACCACCCTCACGACGACTACGTCGCCTCCTTGACTCCTCTACCCGCATCTGATACTAGTACTTCGGGTTTCAGCAAGCAGTGGGTCACCACTGGTGGCACCACTTTGGCTGTGACAGATCTCCGGAGAGGTGTCATGGTGCGCAGTGAAGATCAGGAAGAGGAATTGATCAGCTCGGTTTATATGGGTGGTCTGCCATCTAGCGGAACCAGCCGCGGTCAGAAGGTGATCGTTGGTGGCGCCAGTGGTATCATGACATTGTGGGAGAAGGGCGCGTGGGATGACCAAGATGAGCGGATCCGTGTCCACCGCGACAATGAGGGCGGTGATGCCATTGAGACTATGGCCGTCGCACCTGACTTTTTGGGCAAGGGCAAGCTTGTCGCCGCAGGTCTGAGCAATGGACAAGTGAAGTTCGTGCGCATCGGACCTAACAAGGTCGTCTCCGAAGTTGTGCACGATGAGATCGAGGGTGTTGTGGGCTTGGGCTTTGATGTTGAGGGCCGCCTGGTCTCTGGTGGTGGTCAGGTTGTCAAGGTATGGCATGAGGCTGCGGACAATGCTGGCGCTGGCGCTGGGGACAAGCACATGATGGATTCGGACAACAGCGATGACGACTCAGACAGCGAGGCCGAGGTGCGCCCTCAGGAAGCAAAGGATCGCAAGAAGCGCAAGAAGGGCAAGGGCAAGGACATGAGTGGTGGACAGCATGTAATGGCCTTCCACGATCTGGACTAATGCCTCCCGATCTCGTTATTATCTGATACCCATTTCTGCAGAATTCAACCCGAACAGAAAAGTGTACATAGCGTCGGAGTTAGGGATTGAGCAATCGGAAGAATACATATCTGTAAAACACAGTCCCCACTAGATCTGAATGCTGAGGGGGAATCATCCTTCATTGAGCCGTATATCCGTCCACGGATCTCTAAGAGCTTATTCATGCTGAACTAAGAATAGGGGATATACGTATTTCCGCACATCATTGAGTCCGAAAACCATGCCTCGCGCATGAAATGTATGGTTCTAAAAGGCCATATGAATCAGATGAGAAGATCTGCAAATTAACATGCAGTATGAGCGACAAAATACATAACAAAAAAGTGCAATTGCTCGGAGAATCAGCAGAATGCAACTGCCGGCAGACCCCACCGCGGATGACGCTCATTGCGGTGGGGTGTGGGACTATAAGATCCCCAAGTCTCGCCCTAAAATGAGAGCACAAAATGGACGCCTTCGAGTACAACCCAAACCCCGGCCGTGTCGTCTTCGGCAGCGGCACACTGCAGAAACTCCCTGATGAGATTGCCCGCCTGCAGGTGAAGGCCCCGCTAGTGCTGTCGACGCCCTATCAGCTCAGCCACGCGGAAACCGTCAAGGATGTGCTTAAAGGTCAAGTCGCTGGCATCTTCAGCGAGGCTACCATGCACACGCCTACTGATATCACTGACAAGGCGCTCGAATATGCTAAGGCGCAGGGAGCCGACTCGGTCATCTCCATTGGAGGTGGAAGTACCATCGGCCTTGGAAAGGCGATTAGCATTCGTACCGGGCTGCCACATATCTGCATTCCGACAACTTACGCCGGTAGTGAAATGACCCCCATCTTGGGTGAAACTGCCGATGGGTTGAAGAAGACTCGTTCTGATCCTAAGATTCTGCCCGGGACTGTCATTTATGACGTTGATTTGACGATGACCCTGCCGGCGGCTATGAGTGCCACCAGTGGTGTCAATGCTATCGCTCATGCCGGTAAGTACTCACAGACTCATATGAAGTCCCAAGAAGATAAGTCTCATGCATTTCGACAGTCGAGGCTCTCTACGCACGCAACACGAACCCAATCATCACCATGATGGCACTGGAAGGAACACGAGCTCTCGCATCCTCCCTCCCAGAGATTGTCGAGAACCCATCCTCGCAATCCGCCCGATCCAAGGCTCTATACGGTGCCTGGCTCTGCGGAACATGCCTGGGCAGTGTTGGCATGTCCATCCACCACAAGCTATGCCACACCCTCGGCGGCAGCTTCAATCTCCCTCATGCTGAAACCCATACCGCTGTTCTGCCGCATGCTATCTCCTACAATGCACCTAGCATTCCTGAGGCTATGAAGCAGCTCGCCGACGCTCTGCCCGACAGCAATGGTGACGCTATCCACGGCCTGAACGTGCTCCTGACTAAGCTCAAGGTTAAGCGCGGCGTGAAGGACTTCGGAATGAAGGAGGAGGATATTGATAAGGCAGCGGATATTGCCCTTTCCAATGCTTATTGGAATCCTCGTCCGATTGAGCATGCGCCTATTCGGGAATTGCTTCGCAGAGTCTGGGCGGGTGAACCGGCTCGGGCTGATCTGTAGATATACTACGATTTGAATAGCGAAATGAGAAATCAGTAAATTCTTAGAAGCTTAGAAACTTCAGACTTATTCAATTGTTTTTGAATACTAAACAACACGTTAAAGGTTTCTGGCGCAACTTATGATCTGCCAATGGGGGTTTTTGTATTTTTGTTATCGATGGCGGGGGGAAGTGGGGGAAATCTTTTTTCTCCAAAATTTTTGGCTTCCCATATTCCCGCAACATCACACCACCCAAACCCTCCAAAATGGGCTCTGAAATGGAGACAGCGCCTGTGCTGTCGACTCCTGATGACCGCATTCTCGAAGAAACGAAGCCGGTAGTCTCGCGAGACCCTACAACTCGAGTGTCGGACGACGAACTTTCTATTACCTACGATATCGAGCGCACATTGAAGGAGATCCGACAAGCGCGGTATAAGCGCATCGCTCTTCAATTTCCTGATGACATGCTTCCTGATGCCCCGCGGGTATTCCAACTACTCAGCAGGGGCCTGGAGCGCGAGGAAGTGACCAACACCAACGGCGCCGAGCCCTCGAACCAGACCGAAGCCAGCAATGCTGACGACCTGTCTCACTCGGTATCTCAGCTGCAGATGGAGGAAGATAAGACCGGAAAGATCGCACCTCGGTTGACCATTTTGGCGGATACATCATATGGAACTTGCTGTGTCGACGAGGTGGCCGCAGAGCATGTGGACGCAGATGTGGTCGTGCACTACGGAAGGTCGTGCTTGTCGCCCACTGCGCGGCTGCCTGTCATCTACGTCTTCACCCATAAAGCTCTACCCCTAGAGCCTGTAGTGCGAGCATTCAAAGCGACATATCCCGACCCGACGACGAAGGTAGTCATCGCAGCTGATGTCACCTATGCGGACCACGTTCAAACAGTATATACTCGCCTGGTGGAAGAGGGATACGGCGATCTATATGCAACCGAGGTTGTCCATGAGCCTTCATCGGCTATTCCCAATCGCACTGTCCCCGAGTCAGTCCGAGAGTCGCCTGAGGCTCTGGCTGACTGGCAGCTGTTCCACATCTCTGATCCGCCAACGGCTCTCATGATGACACTTGCGTCTCGAGTTGCCGCGATTCATATCTACCCCACGGACAACTTGGGTAGTGAGAATGTTAAGCCATTGCCTGCGTCTACTGCTGCAGCTCTGCGACGGCGCTATGCCACTCTGACCTCGTTGACCACGGTTCCAATTTGGGGTATCCTCATCAACACTCTCAGTGTCAAGAACTACTTGCACATCGTGGAGCACGTTAAGGAACGCATCGACAAAGCAGGCAAGAAGAGCTACATGTTTGTGGTTGGCAAATTGAATGCTGCCAAGGTAGCCAATTTCAGTGAAATTGGTGGCTGGGTAGTCATTGGCTGCTGGGAGAGCTCGCTGGTGGACAGCAAGGATTTCTGGAAGCCAGTCATTACTCCATTCGAGTTAGAACTGGCTTTGAAAGACGACGCGGATCGCGTGTGGACAGGCGCGTGGCAGAGTGACTTCCAGGCGGTTCTTGACCAACCAGCTCAGGAGGCCAGTGGGGACAGCAAGGAGATATCCAATGGTGCCGTGTCTGAAGAAGATGACATGTCAGAACCCGAATCGGCGCCGCCCGAATTTGACCTGCGCACTGGACGATACGTCTCACATTCCCGTCCGATGCGGGATCCCGCGCCCCGCGCTTCCCAGCTTGATGGATCATCTACCAGTGGGCCATCCGCTGCTAGGGCGCTGGCCCGACGGGCTAAAGGCGACTTAGCCATGATCGGCGGCGCTGTATCACCCGGTGCAGAGTACCTGCGATCGCAGCGGACATGGAAGGGTCTGGGCAGTGACTTTGACATCCGATATGATGAGGAAGATGAGGATGACAGCACCCTGGTCAAGGAAGGGCGCAAGGGCATCGCCAGGGGCTACACTGTAGGCGATGCGACCAACAAACATTAGGACACACTAGCATGACCATTTGCAATAGACGCAGCGATCAATGCATTTCTATATAATATCTCAAGTCTCGAAATCCGGGGCTCAATATCACATGACGTTGTTGACGGGCGCATCCGGACATCGTTGCTGCTTCTGTCCCTTTTCTCTCTCTTTAGTTCCTCTCGGTAATTCTTTGTGCTCTCTGCTTTGCTTTTTGTATCTCTTTCTAGTGTTTCCTGGCGGGCGATCTCGTATCTCTTCGCTCTTTTCGTACCCCTCCCTTTCTCCCCCTTCAAATACTGTCAATTCGGCAGCCCTTGCGACGCCCGTCTTATCAATTATCGACACTCTACCTTTGATGGCCTTGCATGGTGGCTTACCTCTGGGTGTGGTAGCCCCCTCGTTCACATCTTCAAGTCGTCTTACCATGCGCTGCGTCTCTACCCGCCGAGCTCGCGACCTCGCGTCATCACAGTTTTCGACCTAAGCGCCGGCGTTTTTAGTTCATCACAAAGGATCGGTGGTCAACCACGACCTTTACACCATGGCTCAGGAGGGGGTTGCTGGTGGAAATTCAGCGGCGATGAGTGCAACGCTGGGAGATTCCCTGGATTGCCCTGAAGAGCGGATGCTTTCGATCTTTGAGCGGGTAATCACTACGAATGCTCCCATCTTTGAGTCTCTACTGCTACAAATCCCGACCGATACTATCATCAAACTATACCATACGTCTCAATACCTTCGTACCTTTCTTCGATCATATCCGACCGCATGGAAATCGCTCTCGTTTCGCCTGCCCTTTCCCCCGGGAACTTTACCGAGCCCTCAGATCACCGACCCAAATATTGCAGATGCAGAGATCCCGCGTCAATCTCGACCTTATGCCCTAGACATGTTCCTGATGAATGTGGTGATTCCATTCAGTGGGTGTTTGAAGAGCCTGGAACTGGACAACACGGCGATATCGGGGGAGAATCTCACATCCACGGTGCTGCATTCGCGTCGGGAGACGCTGGAACACCTTTCCGTCCGAGGTTGCAAGAACGTATCCCTCAAATATCACATAGTGCCGTTCCTCACTATGTTTGCTCTGCAACGTGACATGGATATGGAGAACACGTCCGGTACTCATTCCCCTGGGATGAAACGACTTGCCCTCAAGAGTCTCTACGCTTACCGATGCCGTCACCACCGCAGGAGACCGTACCTTTCTTCTTCACTGATGCGGAAGGATGCTGATGCCGAATCGACACATGAGCTTGTTAACATCTGCCACAAGCTAGGAATCTGGACAGATACTGCCTGGTGCACCACGCCAGCCGGGAGGTGCGCTCGTAGAGCCGGTTATGTCAAATCGAGATTCCCGCATGGAGCAGGATCACCGGAAGTTTGGGTGGTTTTTGATCGACTCTGGAGATCTAAGAACTGGATCGGTCCTATCGAACTTGAGGACCCTGGACCACGCGTGCTTGACGGCAAGCTATGGGAGAACTGTGACACTGGATGTTTTGGCGAGGCACTGGGGACTGGCGAGGGCATTGACTGGGGCGAAGGCAAAATGACTCCGACTCACCTGCGTCAAAGTCATACAAAATTTGTCCGCGGCATTCGCTGTGACGGTTGTCTCGAGGACATTTCAGAGCGGTGTGAGCATTGCAGCGTCTTGATGCACTGTGTCGGGTGCCGTAAGACACTCTGTGCGAGCTGTGCCTATGAACGCCCGTATCTTCACAGGACCATTCCATCTCCCTCGTCCGAAGGCAACCCGAGCACGACACCCTCCTTCTGGTGGGCCCCTGGCGCCACACACTCTCCGGGGTCAATGCAGGATCCTGTGGATTATCTGACGGACCCCAATCTACCCGCGACTTCAATGTCAGACACGACACCTATCCTCAACTTTCACTGGTGCTGCACCAAGCCCGACCTCTCTGGGGGAGGCGGCATCAGTATCGGACCTCGCAATCGTGAAGTGGACCAGGTCCGAGCAGTACCTTTGCCCCGAAATCAAGGTTGGGAGGATCTGGAGTACACGGTCAGCGAATGGAGCAAGTCCTTTCCCAAGTATGCATATGGTGATCCGAGCAAACCGGACTACTCACTCGAGGCGGGACATCTGGCGATGATGAAATGGTTGCTTGGACCGCCTAATCGGCAAGTCTCACCATGCCCGCGCAACTTGTGCCAGGGATGTTATGATTCCCCGCAGTGGAAGGTCCACTGCAAGAGCTGCTCCAAGCCACTCTGCATTGAGCATGACCTCCGTGGATTACGCCTTCGGATCTGCGGTTACCGTGACCTCGAAACGGAGAAGCAGACCATTCAAAGTCGATTTGCGGTGAATATTCCGCAATCTTCTAACCCGGATGAGCTTTCCGGGTACGACCTCCCATTTAGAAGCCAGCGGCTTCTCGATTCGGCAACTAAAGGCTTCATTGACAACCCACAATCAGATAGCCTGGAGGAGCAAACCCCCGATTCCCATGTCGGTGATCAATCGGCTCATGCATCCTTCTTCTCCACTCAGCCATCTCGCTCCTTCTCAGTCCCGACGTCTAATCACTCCTCCCCACCGTCATCCTCATCCTCGATCTACTTTGATTCGCCCATCGAGACTCCGAAATGGCAAGGTTGTCAATCCTTTTTCTGTCCTCCGGCTGATCCCATCACTGGTATCAGGGATGTCAGAGGCGGCATCCGGGATCAGCGCCCAAGGTGTCCCAGCTACCTCCGAGAATGCACGGGCTGCAAGGTGTATGTATGTGCGGACTGCATCTATGCCTACCCGCCCTGCAAATGTTCGTATTGCGAGGAGCACTACTTGTGTCCCAATTGCATGAGAGATGGCCCTCGAGATAACCGCTGCCGTCGCCGCCGAGAGGAAAATGCGCGGTGCGAGCGGAAGTGGAAAAAGGACATGCAGGTGCTGGAAAGCATCCTGGAGCTGAAGGTGGCTAATGAGCTGGCAGAGTTCGCTGGCGAGTTCTTTGGCCTCGTCGAGCAGCGCGATATTTTACCCTCGGGGATCAGCTACGATGACCAGATCACCGATCTCTATGAAGGCGACGTTGCAGCAGCGGAAGTATCCGCCTCGTACTTTGAGCCTGATGACATTGACTGGTTCCTTCAAGACTCATATTAGCCGGTATCCCGGCTCACCGTCTTCTATCATTTCTCTCGTGACTTTCATATGCTTTTTTTTTGTTCCAGTTTCTTCAGCGATCTCATATCACGGCGTCATGAGGAAAATCATTTATTTGTCCGATTTACGGGATCTAAGCGATCCACTGGGATCAATACCATGGCGTTCCAACTCGACGTAACAACGGGATGATCAACACATCCATATCTTTGCTACCCCTCGACCCCTCTTTCCAACCGGACTGTGGCTGCAGACGGGGCACCGGAATTGCACTGTCCTGCAGTGACTCCGAGCTGCTAACGGCACTGACGACATAGCTGGCAAAGGATGCAGGCACCGCGCCAGACTTTACGACATGTTTCTCTGTTATTTCTTAAATCTTTCTATCTGTTATAGTGCTGGGCTGGATGACCCAATATGTGAGGGGGACACGATGGCGCAAAGATCACCGCTATGGAGGGCAATGTCAGCGTTGACCATGTAGCGACATGCCCTGAATAATCAACTATCGTTACCGTTTGCTTCTGTTCCCGACTATAACCAATAGCGGTTCGTCCATCCGGTCCTTTTGACCCCTGGACATTGTATAATAACGCCACACCCCGAGCAAAAGTACGAACTATAACCAGTAATAACGCACCACATGCATAGCCATACCCAAGCCAATGGGCCAATACAAGCAATCCCCATATATGAACTGATCGACCGTCAGGCACCTGTGCAAAACGGAGATAAAACAAACCCCCGAATCAAACAGGAACCCCATCAAACCAGACGATATACCTAATCTATTTCGTGAAGAAAAGCCTCGAGCACAACAGCACCTAGCGTGGAAGTCATCATCTGATGCGACGTTACGCAAAGCCCGTAGGTACGTGTCGGACCGCAGATGGACAGACGATGCGGTCAAAGGACAACGGCTATGGCTCCCTGGAGTAAACTTGGCGCCTGCAAACCACGTGGGAGTGCATGCAACGTCTGCAGCGTCAACTGCGGTATACACACCCGGCAAATTCCCTTGTCGGCGGTGAATACTTGTACGTTGTTTGGGCCAATAAGGCCATGGGCAGCGTTGGGTTTCGAGCGGTCTGTGTGTATGTGTTTTGATCTTGGGTTGTTTCAACCCAAGGTAGACACATAGAGCCCTGGGTATAGTACAGAGTGGCTCAGCTGTAGGGGGTTAGGTCTAACAACCAACATCTAACACTTTAGATAGACACATACTATACATGTATGTACTCCATAACTATACATGTGTAGTCCCACAGATCGTAAATAGAAGTATCAACTCCGGGTGGATCGGTCGATCCCTCGCAACTCTACCCGGTTCCCCGGTGCCCCTTTTTTATCTTTTTCATGTATGTATCTACTCCCCGGTTCCCCCTAGATGCCAAACCCATATATCTAGATCGGCTGGCGCGGATGCAACTCTCAAGTCCCCCGATTGGGCGCGGGCTATCCTCGGTAGGACCACTGGAACTCATCCTATTAGTCCGGAGGGCAACATTTGGAATGTGGACGGAGTCCAGGGAATTTAACAAGTACTGTACGCTAGGTCCCGTCTGACATCATGTCTCCAGTCTTAAAGACACAAACCAGAAGGGCTTATACTCCAATCAGAAGCCTTGGATGTGTGAATGGTGCTTTACCCGTCCTGGGGTTAAGCGGTCCGACGTCCCGTTTCAGTTCAGGCCCCAATCTAGGGAGATGTCGGTGAACAGCTTTTCCCTGATCTTTCTAGACGCGTGATCGGTCTATTTCCGAATCAAACATTTGGTTTTTTCTTTTCTTTTCTTTTTCTTTTTCTTTTTTATTTTGGGCTTCCTTGTTTTGCGATTTCTAATCCTTGGGTTATATAAAGGCTTTGTCGGGGGATCAGATCTAAATCATTTGAACTATAACTGAGAATCACTCCTTCCAATCTTGCAAACGCTTCATTTATACATCATGGACAAGCCAAAGAACAACCAGGAAACACAAACCCAAGGCAGTCAAGAGAAGAAGGAACCTCAGCTTCGAAGCGTAGAGGAATATCAGAAATACTGGGATCAACTCCTCCAAAATACAGCGGATCAGATCCAGAAGATCCGAGGTGAGTGTACATCTGACATATGCAGAGTGCCACTGACAACTATAGACAAGGAACAAGCAGCAGAGCGTTCAAACCCAGACTCGCACCAATGATCGAGTCACATTCCACCTATGCAAGCCGAGGAGTTATTGGGAAGTGAGATTCTGGTGTTTTCTGTTTTACACATTTATCGCATTTTAGCTGGAGAGCTGGAGAGCATGAGATATACGAGGTTAGAGGGTGTTTTGTTTCGGGAGTTGAGCATAGCCCATCGTCGTTCGCTGTTGCCTTTGTTTTGTTGGCCATACGTTGCATATGCATGAGAATACCCAATCACACTATCAGTCGTTTCAGACCATTCCATCTTTGTTCAAAGCAGGGAGCAAACCTAATCTGTACAGAGCCTCGAGTGGGGGTTGGGTGTAGTTGCCATGACTCATGTTGCATTGATTTGACCTGGGCTTCTTTCCATCTACACATGTATGCAAGCAGCAGACTTCTCCATCCAGTGGTCTTTGAGTCTATGCATGTCATGGCTGCAGACCAAGGTGGTCAATCCCTGTCAGTATACCCAAACGGGCAGGAGATCAGCCCTACTAACACTGTCCAGGACCCTGCCACTGGACTTCGTGGCCCACAATGCTGTCTTCCTGCTGAGCGGTGTGCTTGTCGCCTGGCTGCTCTCCAACGTCCTTTTCCGGCTGGGACAGCTGCGCCTCCGTTCCCGTCTTATTACGTCGTTGTGGTCTTTCGTCGTTCCTTCAGCCAGCTGGTATACTTCATTACTGTGGCCATGATGCGGTTCTGGAGAAACGACATCGACTGTTTCTGTATATATCCAACATTTGCTCGTCTACCCCTCTAACTTTCTCATAGTGGATTCCTTAAATAACTACTTGGGGATCTGAATGTACGACGTCACTCTAAAGACCCTGGGTCCCCCCCAC